CAGAGATCAGGGTGATCCCTGATCTCCCTTCCTTCCGCCGCGCCCTTAAGACATGGCTATTCCAACAAGCGGGACTGGCCTAGGGGAATTTTTAGAGGGGTTTTATTCATATTTTAATTAGACAACATTTAAATATTTCTTTTTAACTAATTTTAAATTTTGTAATTGTTTTTGATGTATTTTTAAATTGATTGTCAGCTGCCCTGAGTCCGCAAGGAGAAGGGCGGGATATAAATTCGATAAATAAATAAAATAAATAAATAAAATACTATTTCACTGTTTCAATGTCCTCACTTTTGATAGTTTTAACTTGTAAAAAGTCTGCGGCTTGAGTTCCTATGGCACAAATAGACAGGTCAGCAAAGAGCTAGTACAGGCATCCTCGACTTACAACAGTTCATTTAATGACCGTTCAAAGTTACAACAGAACTGAAATGTGACTTATGACCATTTTTCACACTTTGACCATTACAGCATCCCTATGGTCATGTGTTTTACATTCAGCTGCTTGACAACTGGTTTAAATTCATTATGGTTGCAGTGTCCTGGAGTCAGTGATCCCCTTTTGCAACCTTCTGACAAGCAAAGTCAATGGGGAAGCCAGATTCACTTATCAACCATGTTACTAACTTAACAACTGCTGTGATTCACTTAGCAAATGTGGCAAGAAAAGTCGTAAAATGGGGCAAAACACACTGGACAAATGTCTCACTTAGCAACATAAATTTGGGGCTCAATTGTGATCCTAAGTCGAGGACTACCTATATATTCGCACAACGTGTTAAGTGTGGCTATTAACACTGTGACTCAGCACCTTGCCCGAACTCAGGCCCTTGGCTCATTTCTAATCCAAATGGGCAACCTTTAAAATGGGTTAAGGCAGTGGTGGCGAACCTATGGCACGGGTGCCAGAGGCGGCACTCAGAGCCCTCTCTGTCGGCACGCGTGCCACCGCCACCAGCAGCAGGTCCATCGGGCCGCCACTGCTGCCTGGAGCAGGAGCCCCACCCAGCACAAAGGAGGCGAAGCAGCCGACTAGCAAGCTCGAGTAGAGGTGGTAGAGCAGAGGTCACCAACCACTGTCGATTGGTGGACTGGAAGAAAAGGGAGGGGGGAAGTATTTTACATGTGCGCATGCGCACACGGGGCCGCAAGCACACACGCGCTGCAAATGGGGCAGGGCTAGTACCTGCGTGAAACTCATTAGCCCTGCCCCGTTCTTGCGTGGTGCAGCGCCTTGTATCTGCACCCTGCGTCGCAGCAGCAGCAGCCATTTTTACGCCTTGCAGCACAGTGGCTCATTTTTGTGCCCCCCCCAGTTTTTGCGTGCCAGAGGCGGTACTCAGAGGCGCCTCCTTGCTCCCCCCCCAGGGCATCACAATGCTGATGCGGCCCTGGCACTTTGTGATAAATAAGTGGGTTTTGGGTTGCGGTTTGGGCACTCGGTCTCCAAAAGGTTCGCCATCCCTGGGTGAAGGAATCATTTCGCCCGAGTCACTTGCCGACCTGACCCCGCCCTTTGCCCCGCCCTTTCTGCTCCTGCCACCACCTCCGTCCAGAAACTGCTCCCGGAAATAGACCGTGCCGTGGACTGGCAGAGGCTGAGCTAAAACCAGAATCAGGGCGATCAACAGCGATCCCATCGGAAGACAGTAGCGAACAATTATTGCTGAGGCAACAGCCGCCGGAGGCCAACGATTCAAAGCTTCCGACTCCGCGCGCGCGTTCAGAAACGTTCGCTCACTCCCAATTGCTTACTTTCCCGCCTTTTCCCCGGGAGTTGCTCATTGGGCGTCGTTAGGGGGTCCTTCCTCGGATTGGTCTTTTGCCTTCGAGCACCGCCTCATGCCAGCTACTAGCTCATTGGTTCTCACGGACGCACGGATTTTTTTTTTAATCGCCGATTAGCTATTGGCTTGCAACCTCCGGCCAATGAGGGAGTCCTGCTAGGATGGCTCTGGACGAATTAGGATTGAAGATACTGGTATACGCAGTTGCTAAACAACGCAGCGCTCGGTCCGGTGGAGACGGACGCGATCCTGCGGAGCTATGCGGAGGGGCGGCCGGCCGGAGTTTACTCGGGCTGACGCCCTCTTGGCGGGGAAGCGGGCCGTCGGGAGGCGGAAGCAGGTGATAATGACGAGGCTGTTTTCCCTTAACGTGCTAGTCCAGTGTTTCTCAACCTTGACCATTTTAAGGCGTGTGGACTTCAACTCCCAGAATTCCACAGCCAGCGTTGCTGGCTGTGGAATTCTGGGAGTTGAAGTCCACACGCCTTAAAATGGTCAAGGTTGAGAAACACTGTGCTAGTCCATAAACAAGCCCCATCTATCTCGGTTCTAAATCTAAAATCTTACTTGATTTGTAGGAGCAAGAAGGGATTGGCAAGAGCAAGCCAACCATCCAGGCCCCCAGTAGCAGCACTCGCTGTCTTTCCGTTTCCCCCACGGACAGTGACTCGAGTGACCTCTCCAATCCGAGCAGTCCTTGCGTGGGAAGGGAAGGACTGGACAATGTGGGTCCTGCTGAGACCACCCGACCGGCACAGCCTGGCAGCCGGTTCCTCAAACAGAAGCCACAGAACGGGGACGTGGACATCCAGCAAGCGGGGCACAATCCTGTCACGAGGGTGGGGCTCAGTGCTGACTCCAAGGGGAGATCAAATGCCATCCTCAGAAAGTTGGCACAAATAGAGAGCAAGATCCAGAGCCGGAAGACCAAGCAGAGCATCGGGCAGGTACCTGTGTTGGATAATGAACTCTCATTGAGTGAATCTAATGATGATTTTGAATTGAGGACAAGCGGTCTGAAGTTCCTGAAGAAGACAGCTGGGCTGAAGGAGAATGTCAAGGCTCAGACGAAAAATGGGACTCTTGCAGACATAACTGGTGATAGTGAGGAAGATGCAGATAGATATAGACAAGACGTTTGCCCCAAATCCCAAAGACAGGAAGATAAATTCAAATTCAAACCTAACAGAAAGGTAACTTCAGCTCTTTTTATCTTGCTGACTTGGACTGATAACTGTTGGTGAAGGGGAACGTGACCCAACTTAGCTCTCCGTGTTTATGTTTCTCAGAGTTGGAACTCGTTGGCAAGTACAGGTAGTCCTCAACTTCATTGACCCCCCAAATTTCTGTGGCTGAGAAATTTGTTAAGTGGATTTTGCCCCATTTTGCGACTTTGCTTGCTACATTTGTTAAGTGAATCACTGCAATTGCTAAATTAATAACGCAGTTGTTAAATGAAACTGGTTTCCCCGTTGACTTTGTCAGAAGATTGCAAAAGGTGATCACATGACCCCAGGACACTGCAATTGTCATACATGTGAGTCATTTGTCTCACTCATAGATATAATGTTCACAGATCCTTTATGCTTTGTTTCATCTGAAAAAACGTCTTGTTACAAATGAATTATTTTGAAGATCTTTATTTTGGAAACATGGAAAGTGTTTAGTTCTTTCAATATTACAGAATCCCAGATTTGGTAAAATACCCTAATCTTCTTTCCTTCCCTCCCTGCTTCTTTCCCTTCCTTTGCATTAATTCATCCTGATCCAGTTGCTACCAGAGACATCTTCCACTTCAAGATCTCTGCCTGAAGAAAGTCAAGTGAACGGACTTCTATCCCATTCTCCCTCCTCACCAAACAGGGATACAAGAGCAAGCCATGTAGCTTCTTGTTCCTCCTCTCCATCTATGAAAGACAGTCTAGCAGATACAATAACCCATAACAGGAGCTCCAACTACCAGAGGAAATCTCTTTCTGGACGGAGTATCGTCCGATCCTTGGATGAGTTGTTCTCAGATGTGGCTGATATACATAATGATATTTCCAGCAACAGTGGTGAGTTAAACAGATCACTTTGTCATGGCACGCTCTTTGGAAGGAGTAAAAACTTATTGTGGTCCCAAAGTTGCTGAATTGTAATTTACTGTATTTGGGTTCAGCAAACTACCAAGTTCCCATCTGTGTTTACTGTACAAAAGTAAATAGATCAGTTGTCCAGAGTCTCTGGAGAAATAGCGCAATTGACCTTTAAGATTATTTCTTTTAGGAAAAAGGGGCATCTCAAAGTAAAAGATAAGCAATAGTTTTTAAAAAGAGTGGGAAATGGTTTAACATTTTTCTCCAAAGGTTGTCCTTGGAGAAACAGGTACTGGTAGTCCTTGGTTTACATCCATTTGTTCAGCAATTGTTCAGTTAGGGCAGTGCTGAAAAAAATGGACATATGACCAATCTTTGAAGTTCTGTTTGTCACAGCACTTCCGTGGTCACGTGATCACAATTCAGGCATTTGTAGGCCTGCTTCACGATTACAATGATAACCATGGTCATGTAATCACCAATTGAGGCCTTGCTTGCTTGCTTCCCACAAGCAAAATCCATGGGTTAAGTCCCCTGAATTTTCTGCATTTGCACCATGGCCTTCCTTAACTTGTATATAGCCTACACCTGAGCTCCCCCATCCCCTTCAGCACCCCCGTGCTCCTTAGATTGCTGCTACCTCCTGCTTAACAACCCGTGCTCCTTGGGCTTACAGTGGCAACTGGGACTGCTTGGATTCTCACGAAGTGATGCAATTATATAACATCACGCTTTGCAACCGTATCACTTATCAACAGCAATCGTGGTCCTAATTGCCATCATAACCCGAGAACTAGCTGTACTACAGAATTATGAAAATAAGATGAATTTTATGCAATATGATATTTTCCGGCACTAGAAACATTTCCAGAACTATACTCCAATCTCAGAAAACTAAATTATTAGCATTGCACTTAAATCCTACGCATATTTTTGGCTTGGTGTTCCCTCCCAGTTTTGAGCTGCAACTTATAAAGCCTGGCTAAAATAGAAAAGCAGAAGAAAGCAAATGTTGAAATGCTTTCTGTGGAAATCATGACAAAATTAGCCAGATATCAGCAAATAAATAACTTGGCCTTCTTATAAGACACGAGGACATGAGTTCTATCACTAGATTACCCTAAGTGATTGTTTCTTTTTGCTGTAGATTTCAGAGTGAATATTTTGAGCCTGGATGAACTAGAACCTTGCCAAAAAACAGAATTAAAAGAAGAGGTAAAGCAACTCTTGTGTTTCCAATAGGAACTAATAATCTATTAGTCTGTGTCATCCTAGAGCTTTTATTAAGGAAGCAAAGATTCTGGACTGTTGGGTCATAATTGTTTTCTGGTAATTCTGTCAGAAAAAAGCAGCCTATTATTCTGACTAGTGTGTAAGGATGGAGGAATCTGTAACATCTGCTCATTTTTTTCTAAGATAAATATTACAAGGAAATGTGTTCTTTTTTGCTTGCTTAGCTTCCATTTTGTGCTGCAGTCTGATTCATGCTAATAGAAAAATATCTTTCTCAGGTAATACAAGCAGTTGAGAAGTCAAACAAGAACTTAGGAGGAACAGTTCTGTCTCCTGCTAATCCCCAAAGCCTCTTTAAAACCTCAGCTGTGTCCTTGGAGGAAGAGGAAAACCTGGAAGAAACTGAGATATCTGAGCAGCTAAGCAGCAGTTCTGCTGGATATTCCCCTTGCAAGGAGGAAAGCCTCAACAATACTGAGTATTCGGAAGATTTTGAGCCCTCATCATTTTCTCCCACATCTAAGGAAACAGGAGGAGAATCGTCTTCTGAAAAGTCAGATGACCTGCTGGGTGCCTCAGTTCATTCCATCCAATCTAAATTATCTTCTCCCTGCTGCCCTTCTGTGGCACCCGAGGGCACCAAAGCCATAAAGAAGATAGAGGTGAAAGAAGCAGCTGTTCAGACCGGTTCCTTCTCACTTGCCTATCATAGGTTACAGTGTAAGTCAGCATGGGGTGGATTAAGATGCAGACTGGTTTTCAGAAATGGTGCAGTTGCCTCGTCCCCTCTGCTATGAAGTGTCTTCTTTTCCCTGTCACATAGATGATGTTCCTGTTGTTGTTGGCCATGCAATACCACAAAGCTCTGCTGAGGCTCCGTGTGTTAGCAGCCATAAACTGAACATGGAAGTCATAGAAGGTAATACCTCTCCGTGCCCCTGCTGAGCACCATCCCTTATTTTACTTAACTTTACAGAGAGGCACCTCATTATGGAACAGAACTGTTACCGCTCCTCCTGATTGGTCATTGTCATTTAACTAATTTGTAACGTAAATGAACTTCATTTTAAAACCTGTCAACCTGGTGCACTCTGCAACCCTGGTTATATCTGAAATCCTCTTAAATGAAGGTAGCAGGAATTGAGCCAATGCTTGCAAAGTCTGAAATCCAGTGAGACACATTTCCTCCCTAAGGGGTGATTCCATCCATAAAGATTATCAGATGCAAATATCTTAAGATTTGAAGCATATCTGCGATCAATCTGCTTTTCCTGAGAGGGACCTAGTTATAGCCAGTCAGAGCAATGAAAACTATTCTTATATCTTTTTTGCCTTCTGCAGCTCTCTCAATGTACAATCCATCCATCTCTGTTTTGAATAACATGTTAAAACAAAACTTGCTGCTTATTCAGCAGTCTGTAGAGATCAATCGACATCTTCATGCCTCCTTTGTGGCATCACTGGAAGAGGAGGAATACCGCTACCACACCTTGGAAGAAGCCAAAATGGTAATATTTGTAATCGTTAGATTATGTGCACATAAAAAACACTCACTTTGTAGCTTTTCAAAGCTAAATTTCTTGTTTTATTCTTGCATTCTGAATCTCTTGACACTAAAAATCCAGAAATGGAATCTTAAATAAAAATGTAAATAATACTGCAGGTACTTAAGTCCTCCACTATCGTTCATTCCTGAGATCTAAAGGGCTGATCTAGAAAGGTTTGCGTATCCCACATCTTGTACTTAGGACATCTAAGGATAATGTTTTATATAGTGAAATCTCTTAATAGTGGCTGTAATTTAGGTAAATTAGCTTAGTTGCTGTATCACTCATAAAACAAAACCTCTATTTTGGCTTTTGAGAAGCACCGATGGGCCAAGCTTCAGTAACAATAGCTGCAATTTTTAAATGGTAAATTTCAGCTCATAAACAACAAATTTTAAACAATTTAAAAGTTTTTTAAATCCACACTTTTAAGAAGTTATTCCTAATTTCATTTTTGGTTTGGTTAAAAATAAAAGCAAATGTTTTGTGTACATAATAAAAATAATAAAGGCAAAGGAATGTGTGTGCGTTAAATTGTTCCAGACAGTATTAACAAAAATTGTTCATTTTTTACACTGCATTTGTAGTTTCCATATTCCATTGTTCATTAATATGTAGCAGCTAAGGCTGTTCCTTCAAATCTAGTTTAAAGTTTGCTTTTATTTCATACAAACCATCTGTATTATATTTTTAAAAGTATAGGGAGAGAGCATGTTCATGCATGATGCTACTTAAATCTAGTCTGCTTAATGATGATGGGTTGTTCCTAGGAAGCCCAAACTAGTGTTGAGGATGAGGGTAGGGGGGTTGGACTAGATGACTTCCAAGGTCCCTTCCAACTTTACTATTAGTAATAGTAGTAGCAGTAGCAGTAGCAGTAGTAATGGACTAGATGAGGTCTGACATTTTCTTAAGAGGTGGTTTGTTTAGGTCAGGAGTCTTCAAACTTGGCCCTTTTATGACTTGTGGACTTCAACTCCCAGAATTCCTCAGCTAGGCACGCTGGCTGAGGAATTCTGGGAGTTGAAGTCCACAAGTCATAAAAGGGCCAAGTTTGAAGACCCCTGGTTTAGGTCAATGTTTCTCAACCCCAGCAACTGTAAGATGTGTGAACTTCAACTCTCAGAATTCCTGAGCAGCATGTTGAAGACTGCAAATCTTAAAAGTTACTGATGCTGAAAAACACTGATCTAAACATTAGTTTAGCTTGTTCTGAAAGAGGTTTTGAAAAATAAAGTGCTCATTTCAAGGCATACTTTTATATTAGGGATTGGCAAGCCATGATCCCATTTGCCATCTCTGGAAAGGATGAAGTTAACCAGTTTTGCCCTACACACAATTGCAGCCAAATAAATGAAACCAAATCATGCCAGTCATGACCTATATACACACTCCACCCAAAAAGTTGTCTAGCTGTGTTTTAGAGTGTTTTTTTTTTGGAGGGACAGGTGTCCTCTGTATCACATAGCACTTCTAACAGTTTAAGCTACTGTGACAATTACAGGACTGCTGGAATATAGAATTTGGTTTCAGGCTGTACCGTGGTAATCTCTTGCTTTAATTAGTGCAATACATTATGCATGTGTCTGCCTCTGAGGAAGTGTGGAAATTTCTTAGTACAATAGAGAGTAATTGAAGCTAGACTGTTGTAGTTTCATATTGAATTAATTTTACATGAACTTCATTGCATTAAAGGTTAATTTCTGGTTCCAATTCAAAGTGCTGGTGTCCTATAGGAACAACAAGAATGTTCCCAGATTTCTTAGCCAAACTTACCTCCTAAGGATGAGTTGGGATAAATGACTGACCTGAAGTTTTAGAATGTACTATCCAGCAAGGCACTTTTTGGCACACATCTTTCCAATGAAGACATTTTGTTACATTTGGATATTTTATTTTATTTTTAAAAAATACTGATAATAATTTACATTGGAATGAGAATATTCTCGATAGTTTCCCATCACGTTACTATAGTTTTAGATTCTGCTTAGGTTCATCAATTTCATATTTGTGGTTTCAAAGTGCTGCAATCTTAGTTTTGAAGATTGGCAGAATTTTTATTTTTTTAAAAAAATACATTGACCGCCTTCTGCCACAGATCACCTCCCACCGGCCGATACGCTCCCACAGAGAGGGCCTCCTCAGGGTGCCGTCAACCAGACAGTGTCGGCTGGCGACCCCCAAGGGGAGAGCCTTCTCTGTCGGAGCACCCACCCTCTGGAACGAGCTGCCCCCAGAGATCCGGGTGATTCCGGATCTCCCCTCCTTCCGCCGCGCCCTCAAGACTTGGTTATTTCAGTGGGCAGGACTGGCCTAGGGGTATTTTAAATTGGTTTTAACAAAAATTTTTAGCAGAAGCGGCCTAGTTAAATATTTATTTTTAATCACTTTTAAATTTTGTATTGTATTGTATTATTGTTTTTAAACTGGCTGTAAGCCGCCCTGAGTCCTTTGGGAGAAGGGCGGGGTATAAATTTAATAAAACTAAAACTAAACTAAACTAGCTTAATCCTTTAATACTAAAGACAATTCTAGGATTGGTGTGACTGCAGCCTCAATACATCTCCCCCTACAAAAATTCAAAATTCCAACTGTCCCGATTATATAATAGCCAGAGTAAAGAAAGCTGTGGGCAGGGAGTAGTTTGGTACATTATCTGGTTTTTATCTGGCTTTCTTTCTTGCAGTTTATTCAACAGCACAAGCCCCTGCCTCTGACCGTGGAACAAGCCTTGCAAGAGCTGAAAGAACAAGAACAAATGGCTTCTTAGGTTCATTACTCCCTTTCAGGCCTGCAAAAAAATGGACAGCACTACAGTTTTAGAAAGAAGGCTAAAGTAGTAGTTTCTTCAGTCAAGCACAAAGTCTTGGGAATCACAACTTGAAATATGCATTTAGCTGGATTTTTTTGAAGAGAAACCTCAACAGAGAGATTCTTTACCGCATTTTGATGTAATTATGCAATGTACAATTCAGTGCTGCAAATTAAAGTCAATCTCTGAACCTTCCTCTACATTGGCAGTATCAAATGAGACTGAGAAAATATTCTGTTGCTGCATCAGCTATTAATAAATCTCATCCTTATATAGAAAAAAGTTTTTATTGGAAGGCAACAGTAAATACAAGATGGTAGCTGACTCATGACAGAAAGGTTGAAAGATGAATAAATTTCACAGCTACAGGAAGTCAGTCTACAACAGTTGCTACCTTATGTCAAAATGGATGGCTGTGAAAGAACAGTTCTAGACGGGGAGGAAAATGGTTCTTTCAGTTTGCCCAGGGCAAGCCTTAGATCACAGACAACTGCCGATCTATGGGCACCCACAGTTACAAAAGGTATCTTCCGACAGGGCTTCTAGGAACGCTTCATATTTTGAAATAAGCAAGGAAATGCGATGGTGCTACAGATGAGTCAGTCTCCAGCACTCCTCTTAATTCTTAAAAGGATTAAGATTTTATATACAAAAATATAAAAGGCCTAAATATTATTTTTTTCTTGTTACAAATCCTTAAACATCTAGAAGTAACTGTTGAGTGGTTAAGCCCTCTGTTCTGGATGGAGCTGTGACGGCTGCAGAGGGGTATCTTGGGGATTTAGAATGTACAGTAGATTCTTGATTCATTTGCCCAGTTCTTGGTAGCTATCTGGCTTCCTCCACTTGAAACACCATTAGCCTTTAGGAGAAAAATATAATTGTCAGAAAAATATGAATTGTAAATTGGGGAGCTTGAAAACACTTCTGAAATGATCAACCCCTTTAGTGCTTAAAAAAACACCAAACCAGTTTCACACTTGAAATGAAGTTTTGATTTCAAAACATTTTGCATACCTGTACATGCTAGAAGTTTATATAGCCAATTCAAAGGGAAAGATTTGCTCTTGGTTTGCACTGCCCCCAATTTCAACATATGCAGTTGTTACTGGGCATCTTTCAAATGCACCCAAGCTTAGTCCAAACATTAAGAACTTAATATTATTCTTAGAAAGGTAGATACTTCCTTTTTATTTCTTTTAAATATGCACACACACTACATTCAAAAAGACAAAGATGGTTCACAGCAGCACCTTGCTATGCTGCTTGGTAAGCATCAGTACCAAAAGCAACCAACACAAGTTCCTAAAACAAGAATTCCCGTTTAACCAAAGGCTTGCTAACCTTATGGAAAGTATCCAAAAGTTTATCTGCCCCAATTATTGTTAATCTGCTACACCCGGCACTTACTTTCATCTCTGGCCTTCATTCGAGCAATAAAGGAATAGCTTTTGTTCCTGCGATAATTCTCATAGGGATCGTCTAGGGATACTCCCACACCCTTATACTGATCCCATTTGTCTCTGATATCCCCTCCTTTAATAGGGTCCTGGATCCCTTGCTCCTTGGCACCCAAGCCCCCAGATCCACTCCATCCTGAAAAACACAGAATAGCACGATCAACCACAAAAATATCCCAGTTGCCAACCAACAGAATCATGTCTAGGTGTTCACTTCCAGTTATTCCAGACCAATTTTGCTCTCTCCATATACAGATCTGCCTCAGGAAAATTCTTCCAGTAGAGGAAATCCTGTATAAAGAAGTAGATTCAGGATCCTGGATAAATATTTCACAAAGTAGGCTAGGAAAATACTTGGAAGACTTAGGCTTTTTGCAAGACTAGAGTAAGACTGCAATTCTTGCCATTATTGGCAAAATACAGGTAGTCCTCGAGTTAACGAATGTAATGGAACCTGTCCATTCCATTTATAGCTTGAGGATTTGTAGGAGTGAATCTCGTACCTTGAATGCGATTCACTCCCAGCTTTTGCTCACGCATTCGCTAATTTAATGTGTGGGCGAATGCATGGCTCATTAAGTGAACGTGAGAAGTATCTGGGTGGGGAAGGCCATGGGGGGGGGGCTACTGCTTCCGACCACCCAAGGCCTCCTCCGACCCACAAAATACCTCATGCCCCCTCCCCTAGGGGCCCACAATTGCTCCCTCCCATCCTGCCACTCCGGGTCACTTACCTTGTGAAGATCTGTCTCCTCTCTGTTTCTCTGCTCCCGGCAAGAGCAGAGGGAGTCTCCGAGGCCCAGAAAGGACCTCCGGAAGCACATGGCTACCTCCCCGGTCTCCGTTCTGGGCCTTCGGAACCCCACTGAAGCGTGCCCCGGCATCCTTTTTGGGTGGCAGTGGCCGGGAAAAGGCCTCTGACGCCCGGATCAGGCCTCTGGAGCCCACCTGAAGCGTCCCCCGGTGTCATTTTCAGGTGGCAGCAGCTCAGAAAAGGCCTCCGACACCCAGAAAGGATGCCAGGGGATGCTTCAGCGGGGCTCCTAAGGCCCGATCCGGGCATCGGAGGCCTTTTGCAGGCCACTGCCACCCAGAAAGGAAACCGGGGAACACTTCACAGTGGGGCTCCGAAGGCCCGATCCGGGCGTCAGAGGCCTTTTCAAGGCCGCTGCTGTCTGGAAAGGGGGATGCTTCAGTGGTGCTCAGGAGGCCTGTTCTGGGCCTCAAGAGACCTCCTCCAGGTCTCCGAGGACCAGAATGGAGGCCATGGTGGTGATTACATGCTTCCGGAGGTCCATTCTGGGCCTCGGAGGCCTTCAGCCCGAGAATGGAGGCCGGGGGAGGGTTTTGCGTGCCTCCGGATGTCCGTTCTCCCCCAGTTTCCATTCCGTTCTTTGTTGCAGAGAACAGAGGCCTAAACTACCGTGAGATCACACAAGATCAGCGTGAGAACTTGCACCACTGATCTTGCATGACTTTAGGCCTCCATTCTCTGCAAACGCACTGAAGGAATCAGCAAAACAGCCAAGAAAGTGAAGAATCTCTTGATCTCCCTAGGCCTAGTGTCTAGGGAGACCGAGGGGTGGGGGGAGAGAATAGCCAGTGTGAATGTTGCAGTGCCACTGTGGTCATTTGTAAGGGTGAACAACTGCCGTGATGCGGCAACATTCGTAATTTCGGGACTTTTTCATAAACACTAAGGGGCGCTTACCACGTAACTTTGAACGTTAGCTAAGGGAACGCTCGTAACTTGGGGACGACCTGTACAGCCAGTCCTGACGTGTAGAGGAATGATTCGGATGGACCCAGATTCACTCATCCATGGTTGAGTCAATGGGATATGCTAACCATTCAACCCCTAAGCATGCTGTTGGAATCTCCCATATCAAATATCGTTTGCTGTTTTCTTACAGAATTACAATGACTAAAAACTTCACGTTGCGAAAGATTTGAAAACTGCGGCTAAAGATCGAGCATGTTGTGCAAATCTTGGCTCAAAGAAACTCAACACAACTGTTCCCAACTTGATTGGAAATGAAGTCCCCGGATTCATCGCACATATGGGTAATAGGCACATTGGCTGAGAATTCTTGAAGCGGAAACCTCAACACACATGTGGGAAAGCTGTGATTTCTCCATACAGGGAACAAATTTGTCAATAAAAACTTTTTATTAATTTTTCAACTAACCCCCCCCCCCAAAGTCTTAATACATATATGGTATACATTAATAAAAAAAAACATATTAAATACAGACATAAAAATTTCAGAGCAGCTCGGCAGCCCCCCCCCCTGCATCCACCCTCTCTTTCACCCTTCCTACCTACTTCCCTTCTCCCCTCCTATCCTCCTACCTACACCTCTCTCCTCTCTTCCAACCACCCCACACATCCCACCTCCTTCCTTTCCTCATCCTTCGGATGCAGTTTGGGGGTACTGGCCGAGCATCTCCTTTTCATAAAACTTTACATTATTTCTCTATAACATTTTAATACACCAACTTATGTAAAAAGATATGTAAATCTCTACCCTTTAATACACCAACTTTTACATATCTCTACAGGGAACAAATTTGGAAGAATACTGCCTGAAAGAGAATGCAGTCTGAGAGAAATAGGCAGTCTTTCTTACCCATTTTCACCAGCATCTGATGTCCTTTATTCTCCTCTCCAAGTCTGGATTCTGGTATGGGAGGTCCTGAGCTGGAGCCCAATCCAGCGGCAGAACTACATCAGTAAGCAGAATGTAATAAATCAGATCTTTTATATATTCTTGGCTAATACTTGCTGAAGAATGACTAATGAAGAGAGCAACTGTCACAACATCAAAGAATCTACATAGGATTTTTAAAACAGCGTTAACTACTGCATTACATAGTTCCTCAAACATTTCAGCGTTTTGCCCCCTTCCGACCAAAATCTTTGCAGAATGAACAAGTCAAATCTTACGGAGGTGTCTGACTGCGAGATCGAGACCGGCGCCGCCTACTAGGGGAGTAGGATTTTGATCGGGACCTGGAGCGGGAGCGACTTCGTGAAGAGCGGGATCTGCTCCTACTCCTACAAAATAAACAGGCGAAAATTAGTTCCATTCTGCGTATATTGCCTGTTTCCTGATTCCTCCCCTATCGATAAGAAAAAGCCCTGGAAAAGCATTGGAGCCACTGACTGATACTAGGGCAGTAACTAGAAGGTATCTGTCAGGCGTGAAAGACCAGGTCCACACCTGAAGGTTCAATTAAACTAATTTATTCCTAAAAGGAACAGGAACAAGAATTTTCTCAACTAACGATCTAGCACAGTGGTTCTCAACCTAAACCGGTCGTAAGTCGAGGACTAAACCGGTCGTAAGTCGAGGACTTTCCCTGCCCAGGAGCGCAGCGCATGCGTGGTTCCGCCCCCTGCGCCGGCCGAGGCGTAGCTGGCAAGCGGCAGAGACGGAGCAGGCCGACCACCAGCTGGCCCAGCCCAAGGGAGGTAAGGCACCCGCCGGAAAAGGGAAAAAAAATGGCGGACAGCTTTGCTTGGCGACCCCCGTGAAATGGTCGATCGACCCCAAATGAGGTCGCGACCCATAGGTTGAGAACCGCTGATCTAGCACCTGCTTCTGGTTAGATAAGGGCCAACAGCACTGAAAGGTGGGGAGGCTGGACTTGGTTCTCTTGTGGCTATGTAGGGATTCTAGGCTGATCCCCATTTTCACTCTGGCCCCAGGTTCTGTCATCCCTTGTCCTATAGCAGGGGTAGGCAACCTTGGCTCTTTTATGACTCGTGGACTTCAACTCCCAGAATTCCTGGGAGTTGAAGTCCACGAGTCATAAAAGAGCCAAGGTTGCCTACCCCTGTCCTATAGTAACCTCCAAAACATGAAAGTTATCTGTTACATAGCAGGAAGTTTTAAAGCAAAAAACCCCAAAACAATTCTTCCAAAGGAAAACACAAGAGATACAACTTACACAAACACTACTTCTGTAGCTTTCCAACGATAACATTCGAGCTCCTTAAGAGGCAGTACAAAACTGCACAGTCACTAGCCAAGTAAGAAAAATCTTCCCGACCGTCTTTTTCTAAACCTCATTCCCTCCCTTTGTTTTTGTTTTTTTTACCTGGACTGAGACCGGGAGTAGGACCTTGATCTGGAGCAGGATCGAGATCGAGACCTTGAGTATGAGCCAGAGGATTTTGAAGACCTTGAATTGGAGCGGGAAGAAGACCGCCCTCTGCTTTTAGACCTGCTGCGGGATTGTGAAGGGCCACTGCACCAGAAGAGGAGGAAATGAAAATACGGCTTTAACTGAGTACTGAAAAAGCAGGCGGATCTAGCAATAGGAATGCCGCAAGTGACTCTGAATCTAAAATATGATCCAATCCTGATGCACATTCACAGGCAAGCCAAAAAAAAAAAAAAAACCAATCTGCAAAAGATGAAATACTCGATACCTTTCCCAATCCTGTAAACTTTGTTAGGGAGATGGGCTTACTCACGGCCAAGCGTTTGCCAGCCAAAAATAAGGTCGCATTTATGTTTGAGAAAGTGTTTATGATGGAGATGCATTCTGCCTGTCTGTAAGTAAATTTAGACCCATGCCAAACCAAAACTTGTCTGTGCCATATTTATGCATCACACATACTACGGTACTGTCCTGACTGACAGCATTAAAAAGTCAAACCTTGCCTGTGATCTTTTGTACTTTCACTAGGATAACATGAATGAAAGTCCTACCTGTTTCTTTTCTCTTGGCCTTTGCGGCGCCGGGCTCGCATCTTTGCTCGAAAGAACTCGTACAGCCCGTTCTGCTCCCAGCCCTCACTGAAATAAGAAAACAAGTAGGAAAGGGGAACGGGGAGAGAGAAATCAGCTTGCCTGCTTGTTTGTTTATCAAATATATTGGCTGCCCATTTTACCCTAGAGCAGTGATGGAGAACCTTTTAGAGACCGAGTGCCCAAAAACCGCTCTGCCCCTGCCTGCAGGGTCATCCACCGCCTCCACGACCCGCCGCAGATCGCCCAGACGGCCCAGCAGCGCCATGTGGCCACGCCCTCCGCCAGCGCCCCGCAGCATCATCTGCATGTGACGGGGCTTGAGGGCGGAGTCTTGTCCCCACTGCCCGGCTGCCATGTCCTTGGCTGTGCTGCTCCATGCGGGCCGCACCCGGGGGCGACTCTCCTCTGGGGGGCTGCTGGTGAGGAGAGGGCCGCGGGAGGAGGCGGGTCTGGGGCAACGGCACGTGTGCCCACCGAGAGGGCTCTGAGTGCCCCCTCTGGCACGCGTGCCAAAGGTTCACCACCACTGCCATAGAGTAACTCTGGGTGACTTACAATATTAAAACTATATAAATAGAATGCTACAAAACTATAAAATACAAACTATAAAATACAAAATACAGTAGCTAAAAGATGGGGGGGTGAGAAAGTAGGATGAGCGGAGGGGGGAGGGGGGATCCGATATTAATCTATAAGCCACCTCCAACACGAAGTCCTCCTTTTAGAGCCCCAAGCCAACTTGGTAGAGCCAGGTCTTTAGGCTCTAATGGGAGTTCAGGAGGACTGGAGCGGACCTGACTCTGGGGGTCAAGATGTTCCAGAGGGCAGGCGCCAAAGCAAAGAAGCCCCTTCTGGATCCCACCAGACTCTACCACCGTAAAGATGAAAGCCCACAGCATTTCCTGCTATAATCTGAAAATGCCAACAGTCTAGAAATTCTCCAGATTTGGAGCAGTCAGGAATCAAAATTATCAGGAAGACTGCAGAACTTGTACAACATTTAGGCCTAGCTCAATCTTTTACCTGTTTCTTGGCCTATCGTGGGATGGGGGACTATAAAAGGCTTCAACTGCAGCCAGTAATCTCTCACTGGGAGGCATCGGAGGGGGCAGGCGGATATCCTTGGGATCCAAAGGCTTGTACTCATGATCTTCCAGCTAAAAGAAGAAAATCACAGATTCAAATGAGGCACTTGTAAAAAAAACCAGACCCTTAAAAAGGAACTTGTAGTCTAAATGGAGCTAAGCGTCCAGTAACTGGCTCAAGGAGAAGTCATAAGTGGAAATGATTTATCTGGCCTTAAAAAGAAGCTAGGTTCCTAACACTGATTAATTATCAGCTCAGACACCACCTTGCCTCTCCTGCAACCATTCAGGAGAAAAGTCCGTACGCCTGTGACAATGCACAGGTTTTCCTTGGACAGCCCATAATTGAGTTGTTCCCAAATCAACGACTGAAAGCACTTACTTTGACAAGAGGAGCCATGAGTCCAGCAGGAAGATCAAAGTAAGGGACGTTTGGCACCAGGCTGGGGTCGTCGTGATTAACATGAGGCGGCCCCTGCCTGCGCATGTGAGGTGGCTGTCCATTAAAGCCATGGGGAGGAGGTCCAAAGTCAGGGTGCTGTGGCCCACCCCACGGAGGGTGCTCGCTTATTCCAGGATGTGGCATGCGGTGCCCAGGGTGGTGGTGAGGTGGTCCAATTTCTGGAAAAGAATATGAGAAGTTCAAACTTGAATCGACGCAGGGCAGTCTTTTGAAAAGGGACTTGTGCAAATAACAAAGAGCAAGGCAGAGAACAGAGACAGACAGGGGGGGCTTTTTTAGTCCAGAAACAAGGTTAGAGAATGGAGATAAATTCTTCCAGATCTAACCCACCACCCTGAGTTTTTTTCACACACATCAAAACTGTCTCACAAAGATTGGCTAAACTATGACTACTTGCAGCTATCCTCGGCAAGGATGTATAAACTCAGCTTGCCCCAGAATCACCTGCAGGATTTCGAGGACCTTTTCCAGCAAGCCCCGTTTCAAACAGGGTGCACAAATAGCAGATTCAGGCAAATATCTGAAAGTCAAAATTCTAGGCCAGGAGTAGGTAACCTTGGCTCTTTTATGACTCGTGGACTTCAACTCCCAGAATTCCTGAGCCAGCATAGCTGGCTCAGGAATTCTGGGAGTTGAAGTCCACGAGTCATAAAAGAGCCAAGGTTGCCTACCCATTCTAGGCCAAACAAATCAGTGAATTGGGCCTCATTTAAAAAAAGATCCTCTCCTAACCCATTGGGGCTGAAAACAACAACCTCAGCGCTTCTTCATATGCTATAATTGTTGCAACAATCAGTTTTAAAAGCCTACCACTTCTGGGCAGTGAGGAAAAGGACCCTGGTTTTGTTTTTAAGGGGATACAAAAACCGATGACCACAAGCATCAATTTAGAAAAGCCATACCTTACAGAAAAGGCATTCAGAATTTTAAGCAGGAACACGCACGTGCCCTCCTTTTTCATTTTTCAGAATGCCCTGCTTATGAGCAGACTGAGGTTTTCTCAGATAGGTCAAGAATTTTAAAGAAAAGACCAGGCAGATCCTTTCTGGCAGAAACTGGACACCACGCCAGCATAGCTGTCAAAACTAACCACAACCACCCCCACCCCCCGTTCTCGCCGGCCCTACCATCCACTCACCTTGAGGGAAATCCCCCTGAGGGTAGTCAAAGCGATGGGGATATGGAGGCCGTTCAAAGGGATGCCGTGGGGGGAAGTCATCCTGCATGAAGCGAGGTGGGAAGCGGTTGAAGTTATGTGGATGAGGAGGCTGATTGAACTGAGGGTGCTGCTGGTGAGGGGGGAAAGGCCCCCTAAAGTGAGGTGGGCGCTGCATACGGAAGGGGGGTTCTCTCTGGCCCCCGGCCCATGGTGGCTGCTCATGCTGGTTGTTCCAGGGGGCTTCAAACTGATTATTCCAGGATGGGTCTGGTTGGTTGTTCCAGGGGGCTTCGCGCTGATTGTTCCAGCCGGGCTCCCTCTGTTCGTTCCATATCCCCTCGTGGTTACTGTTCCATGGAGGACAGTGGGGAGGACCCTGGTGGTGTGGGAATGGAGGTTGATCAGGGGGCTGCAGAAGGAAAGGCACAGAGTTGATTGGGGGGGCTGGTCAGAAAACCGAGAGCTTGACTAGATGCTGGCCCTCTGCTTCACACAAGCTAAAGAGATCTTCATGGCCAGAAATACTTCCCACTCTATACACCCCAGACCTTCTGCTAGTACCTGCTGTTGGCCCCAAGGTGTGACGGGATGCGGCTGTTCAAACCAGGGCGGTTTATTGGGAGGAATGTGATCATGAGGCCCAGGTCCACGAGGTCCAGCTGCAGCAGGATCAGATGGCCCAGCACCTGTGGCTTCGTATTCTGTGGAGCCTGCAAGGGGCAGCTGAGCCTTCCCTTCATCTGAAACAAATCCCAATGTGAGAAAGGACAGCCTCTTCCCTGGGCAGGGCATAAAACCAGCAGAGGAGAACACTTAGGGCACGGCCTCAAACTTTTGCTCAGGGCAGCTTGTTTTATTGAATAATCTCATCTAACGAACTTCAGTTATTAATATTCAGATTGCCCACTCGCTGCATCCCCAAGCTTCTCAGACAGAATAGTTGAGTGGTGTTTCTCAACCTTGGCAACTTGAAGAGATGTGACCTAAGCTTGGCTGGGGAATTCTGGGAGTTGAAGTCCATCTCTTCCAAGTTGCCAAGGCTAAGAAACCTTGGCTGAGAAGCCATTCTGTAGAATTAGCAGAAACAGAGGCTTTTGTAATCTCAGAAGAGCTGTACCTGCTTGTGCAATGGAAGTAGCCGGAGGAGGAGCTGAGGCTGGAGGAGCTGGTTTCACCTCACTTTCCAGTGGGGGGATTTGCATCTGTTGCTGCTGCTGTTGCTGCTGCTGCTGTTGTTGTGTGAGGCTGCTGACAAACTCCTCATGCTGAGTTTTCAAATTCTGAATCTGCTGCTGAAATGCAACCTGAATTGGCTGCACAACGTTGGCATATTCTGTGATCAGAGTAGCCTGCAAAGGGGACGGGAAAGAGAGGGTTGGAAAAGGAAAGAAGTTTTAAAGTACCAAGCAGCATAACTGAGAGTCCTGCCAATACTAAGGATCTTGTTCTCTCGCACATAGCTCTTTTCACCCAATACCCATAATCGGATCAATTATCATCTAGATTTGCACAACATACTCAGCCTGATTAGTTTTAGTATTTCGATAATTTAACTGGTTGCTTAAAGCCAGTTTGTCTTTTTTACTGACATTTTCAATTCAATGTACCTGCAAATTAAAACAAGGTTGATAATGTTAGACTCCAAAATCAAGGAAGATACATGGTGGCTCTTTCAAGCTGAATTCTTTATGGATCCACATCTATAGGTAGAATCTTGCCAAACTGAACCACTCTGCTATCAGCATCTACCATATACTCTGAGAACCATTAAGGAGAGGCTGTCTTCACTCTCTTTCTCTCGCATAAAATATTTGGACTGAGCTGCCTCTTATTCCTCCGGAATGGATCCCGTATCTCTTGGAAATCCGGCATACTACATTCCATCGAAGGCAAGCGCACGCAAAATTGTTTCTGGAAAGCTGTCCAAGGCCTTTATTAGCATCAACATTCTATTCTGCATAATGAAATTGCTGCATTTTTGTTTGCATATTTCTGCTTTCTCCTCATGAGCACTTGCGCATACGTGTGCTGGGAAGCACAGGGCAGGCTGCATATGTTCTGCACCAGGTCACACGACAAGGGAAGGCGGCTTCAAATGGAGAAATCAACAGTATTCTGAACTGCTCCCCAACAGCCTCCGTGTTAAGGATACATTTAAGCCTGCTTTTCTCTATAGACCCAATCTGATTTAGCCCTTTTTTATATTTCTTTAGCAAACGTCCTTTGCCATATTAGCGTGGTTCTGTTGTTTTGGGACAGTTATCCTACCAGTAAAAAGGAATAGAAATAGAAAGGAATAGGAATAGGAACAGGAACAAGAACAAAAACAGAATAGAATAGAGCTGGAAGGGACTTGGAGATCTTCTAGCCCAGCCTCCTGCTCAAATAGGAGAACCACTTCATGTAATTTGCATCCAACAATCCACTGGGTTGGGAAAAATGAATAGGGATTAGTTCAGTTACTAAGTTAATTTTATTTTTTTAAAATGCAGCTTACATGTCTGTATATTGATGGTATACTGAAATAAAGAAAACAAGTTTATCTCTTAAGAATAATCTCAAGTCTATGAACAAGATTTCAGCAATTTCCTGACAGAACAATTAATCAGTGGAACGGCTTGCTTCCAGAAATTGTGGGTGCTCCAACTCTGAAAGTTTTAAAGAAGAGACTGGACAACCATTTGTCTGAAATGGTATAGGATTTCCTGCTTGAGCAGGGGGTTGGACTAGAAGACCTCCCAGGTCCCTTCCAACTGTTATTCTATCTGCCAGAATGCTTGGCAGTATCCCAGGCCTTTCAATTAGTGATAGTGCACAATGTAATATTACATAGCCACTTGTAATATTACTATCAGCAATTATGTTCTAAAAATAGGTTATGTATTTTTCTTTGTGAGCCACAAGGAGTCCTAAGTGTAGCAGGTTTCACTCAGATGAACCGCAGAGATAATTTGACTGAAGACATGAGAGTTATTGGCTAGCAAAGAATACAAAATTGGGTTATTAGTCTGTGAACAGTAGCTTTCTAGAGTTTAATTATCCAGAACATTAGCTGCAGTGAGCAGCCATATTCTGCCTTAATGCAATTTCACCAAGTATTCATTATCTCAAAATTCTCTAGCACTACTTAATTTTTCAGACCTGCCACTAACATTTCTTATACTGTAGAGCAAAAAAGATGTTTCTTAGCGAAGAAAGAATGCAGAGCTGAGGGCAACAGTTGGCTCAGACTAAACCTAACCCAGCACTCTTTCTACCAAGCCTTTCCTTGCTAAGGGGAAAAAAAATATCTAGTGCCAGGACTTACTTGATATTGCCCGAGTCCAAGGGCTGGACTCTGGAGCTGCTGGATAATCGATTCATCAAAGTAGCCATTTTTCTCCCACAGCTGAAGGAGCTGTGGGAAATCAAGAGGAAGAGAAAGGCCGTTACTTGGCAGGCTGGACTTCAGGCAAGCTCTTGGCTGCCCCTGAAGTAAAGCCGAGCTGCTCACCCTGGCGATCTTCTGTTGTTTGTCCTCCTCCACAGCCAGGAAGCTAGTGCAGTAAATGGGCACCACCACTTTTTGTAGAGCTGCCAGGAGATCACGTTGTTGCTTCCGCTGGCTGAAAGCAAGGCAAAACCAAGGACGTCATTAGAGGAGTAGACTATTTTAAGTATGTAGAGTTCTTGACCTGAACATCTAAAGCATTTCAAATCATATGCAAGCTTACTACATCCTAGGTTCCTCTATGTCAGTGATGGCGAACCTTTTAGAGACCGAGTGCCCCAAAACTGCCCCCGCTGTCCCCCCATCCCCTGCCCCGCCTGCCCACAGGACCACTCACCACCTCCAGGGCCCGCCGCAGATTGCCCAGGCAGCCCAGCAGCACTATGGCAGCCACACCCTCTGCAGCATCAACTGCATGATGGGGTGTGAGGGCAGAGTCTTGTCTACGCTCCCTGGCTGCCATGTCCTTGGCTGCGCTGCTCCGTATGGGCCGTGCTTGGGGGCGACTCTCCTTCAGGGGGGCTGCTGGAGAGGAGGGGGTCACGGGGGAAGGCAAGGCTGGGGCAACGGCACATGTGCCCAAAGAGAGGGCTCCGAGTGCCGCCTCTGGCACCCGTGCCATAGGTTTGCCACCACTGCTCTATGTGTCTGTCAAGCAACCTTAGTACAGATGCAAAAAACCAAAACACACCTATATCCCAAATAAGAGAAAGAGCCAAATTTTATGTATTTTTGGTTCCCCGTTTTTCAAAATTTGCTGAAGTTTTTCAGCCAAAAGATTTTTATTTAATATTTGATAGTTTTGGCTACCATTTCGGATTGTTTTACAAATGGTGACTAGAACTATCTAAGTGAACCAAAGAGTACGTGTTTTTAAAATTCTCTACAGTGCCAATATGACATGCAGATTAGTAACTCCTGGATCCTATCTTTCAAGGTGCATCTGAGCAAGCATTCATCATCCATTCGTTTGCCCTAGGAACCTAAGAATGAGCCCAGAAAGAACCACTTCTCACCAATGGTGGAGGACGTCGTTAATCAGATAGATTAAATGTAGTCGCAGCTCAAAATGTGCCCCCTCGGCGGTGATCTGATTGCGCAGATGCCCAGACATTAGTTCACAATGCTGGGGAGATTTGGCATTACTGAACATCCAGTTCTTTCCAGCCTGAGAACATAAAATGGTGTGAAAGTTTGCCATAGTAAATAAAAGTTCAGGTTCATAAAAAAAGAGCAGGGGCAAAGAAACCCAAGGGCCAGGATAGAGTTCAAAAATACTATAAATTTATTTCATGCTCCTATACACAAGAATTTGATCTACTAACGGTCAAGGCAAATTGGCACTAGATAAGAATTCAAGGGGGGACTGGACTTAGGTCCCTTGGGTGAGTGGCGTGACTTCAAACTGATGACACTGTTTGACCCCGCTGCCCCTGGGCTCTGCCTGGTCACCTCCTACGTCAATACACTGAAGACTAATTAGAAATTAGCAAAGCTATGGGTAACACACAGTTACCAGGAAACCAACCCTGAGGCCATATTATTTTGCCTCTAGAAAGTCTAATGTTTAAGTGACAGTAAAACCTTTTTGGGTACCAAATGATGTCTTTCTCTCCCTTTCCCCAAATTCAAAGTTCTTCCTCTAAGATGTAGGAGTTGTTTTTAATCATAACATACAATAGTAATCAATTGTATGGTCTGGCATACAGTAATTAAGGCAGGAAGATTAAATTTGGAAGTCATTTATATCCTTGTTCTCTGCTCACATAATTCTAGACCTATTGAGGCCTTTCTAGTAAACATTTTAGAAAGGAGTATAAGTAAGATACAAAAGATTTTAAAATAATGCTATACAAACAGTAAAATACAAGTAAATAAACAAAGGGGCAAGATTATGAGTTGTGATAATTGGGACTGTGATTTCTGTTCCTAAGCAATGCAATTGTAAAGTGTAACTGCATTGCTTAGCAACAGCAATTTCTGCAGTCCTGGTGCTGTTGTTAACTGAATTCCACAATCATTAGTCTAGGAAACTTCCTACCGGTGTCTCATAACTAAAGTCATTGGGGAAGCAGGCAGGAAGTTGCAATCCCACACCGGTAAGTGGCTGCTGCTGGGTGGGGGAGGAGGTGCACATGAAGGTCAAGGAGAGTGCATGAGAGGCACAAGGAGGGTGCATGAAGGTGCAAAGGATGTTTATCTTTTATGCTAATAACTTTATCATGAACCTGGCAACACAGTAGAAATCACTGACTGAAATTATAAGCTATAAGCTATAACAAATAATCATTACATGGATTCATATTTCACCCAAGAATTGACTTTATCTAAAGAGTTTATATCAGAACTTTGTGAGCTATTCCAATCTGAATGCAGTAGTTTCTCAGCCTTGATTCAATTTTTATAACTTTTCCAGTTTTATAGATATACCAGATCTGCTTGAGATACAATGACAGACCCACTTCATTGTTCTACTGTTAGTACTCTACATATCTTAAAGCAGTGGTGGCGAACCTTTTAGAGACTGAGTGCCCAAACTGCAACCCAAAAGCCACTTATGCATTGTCGGGTGCCAGCTGGGTGTGGCCCATTGGCTGGGTGTGGCCAATTGGGTGGATGTGGCTCATTGGGTGGGCATTGCTGCGGTGGTAACAGCAGACTGGGTGGGACTAAAAAGTTCAATCAATCAATTCCAACTTTGCAAGATCTTTTTTTTTTCCTGCAAGAAGTTGAAATTGACTGATTGATTGAACCTTTTTTTTTTTTGCATACGGCGGCGGAGGCCTAAAGCGAAAAGGTTTTATAAAACCCAGATGAAGGCTTAGGACTGGGGCGACGGCGCGCGTGCCCACAGAGAGGGCTCTGCGTGCCGCCTCTGGCACCCGTGCCATAGGTTCGCCACCACTGCCTTAAAGCTTCAATGGAGAAACACAGCTCTAGAGAATAATCAGAATAGATGGACTCGACTGCTAACTCCTACTACTATCTAAAGCGAATTTCATGACCACTTGGGAGTCTTCTTCAAACATGTAACAAACATTTTGTCTTTGTACCGGATATCACCTGGCTCTGATTTTGCCATTACTTACGGAGATAGCATCTTTGGTGCACGTGTCAATGATTGGTTGTAGCAAGTTATCAAACTCATTCATGTCCAGCTGGGTTTCCTCCAAGACTTTCTGCATTTGTTGCTCAATAGCCATAGCTATTGCAGAGGTGATTTGCTCCTAAACAGAGAATTAAAGAGGACAACCCCTTAGCAGAGTTTCCAAATTTTCCTACTTAGAAGTCATGTTTGACCGTAACACTTCTGACATTTAACGATCCACGGCAGAGGCAGTCCTTCTTTAAGCTACAGTTTGCTCTGCTTGGGCTATAAAGTGGCTAAAAATACTCCTTTTGTTGTTCAAAGAAAGCTATACACCTGCCCAAAACCAAATCACAAAGGAAGAATCCACCCAAACAAAAACAACAGAAAAGATATTCTATTTAAATTCTCAGTAGATTCGGCCACCATATTTCAAAAAAAGTCTTTGTAGAGGGTATAAGAAAAACAAGGTAATACTCGGTAACAATTCTTTAGTATCTCTGAAATAGCCTGCATTCTAAATATATTGGGCAAAATACTTTCTGAATGAATCATTTTTGCATCTTTTTTAAATAAACAGCATACTCCACAGCAAATACAATATTTGCCAAGTACCTTGCAACTTTGATGTAGTGTTATATCCAAACAATTGGCATGATCTATGATGGCTTGCCCAAACCCATCCTAAGTCTCAGATCAACAATACTTTGTCAAATCCATACCTGTCGCAGGGCAAGGAGGTGCTGCTCCTGCTGCTGCAGATTCCATTGGCTTTGCTGGATCAATTCCTCCATTGAAGGAGTCCCCTGAGGAGTGGTGATAGGGGTGGCAGGAGCCAAAGGTGGTTGGGGAATTGGCTGCATCTGTGGGACAGCCTCAATATCTTGACTTTGCTTGCACAACACTGTAAAGGAGGAGCACAGAAGAACCTTAAGATAGCCATGTCTGAATATTGGATCATGTACTCTCTTCCTCAGTTATCAAAATCCATTAAACATTTTGCAAACAGCATGTTGCAGTTGGAAAATTTCTCATCCAGGTGGGGAAAACTGTTTTTTCTAGAAGTGAAAATCTAGACAGTGGTTTTCCCTACCTACAACTAGTCAGCAAAAGTTACACTTATTGTTGATTTCTATGCACAAGTAATTCTGAAGTTATCCAAAGAAATTGAGACCATCAGCTAAAATATTAACAGGTATGCAGCAGCTTTGCTCTAAATTAATCAGGATCAAGTTTCAAAATACGCAAGTGACATACTCGTTCTTTTCTACAGCAACCTCCCAAGACCATTTAAACTTCAGAATGAAGGAAAAAATTCCAGGCAGTTCTTGAAATTAAGACACAGAGCAAATAAAGAACCAAGACAACAATATCTAGCCTCTTAGATTGCATATAGCAGGGGTCTTCAAACTTGGCCCTTTTATGACTTGTGGACTTCAACTCCCAGAATTCCTCAGCCAGCGTGCCTGGCTGAGGAATTCTGGGAGTTGAAGTCAACAAGTCATAAAAGGGCCAAGTTTGAAGACCCCTGGCATATAGCTTGAATGCCACATTTTTTTTTTAATTTATGGGTCTCCTAACAGTTCATCTCCAAGAATATTATGGAACATCTCAGTGTGTGGAGAGGCGATGTAGCTAACCCAAGAACCGGTAAACTCAAATAATACACTATTTTATAGTCTCTCAGCTTCAGACAGCTCCCATTCTATTTTCAAAATGGGGCTAACAACAGCAATCCACTTTTTAGAATTGCTGATATCATATAATATGTTTTGATATACATATAATATATAGTTTATATTATCCACAGCAAATTCTGTTGCCACCCTCCTCCCTAACTCACACTGTTGCTGCTCCAGAGTCAGCTTATATTTGTAATAGCCATAGAAATCTCCTCCAAACAGAAATGAGAATTTAGGATTTTCCTTTTGCTTCTCCATTGTCATTTTTTCAAACTCAGGGCCATTCCGTGCCACAAACTGAGCCAGTTTGTCAATGACATTGCGTAGCTCTTGATCTGTGAGGAAGGAGTAGTAAGAGTAAGAGCAGATATCACTGTGCGTTTATAAATTAAGAAATCCCCTCTACTTAATCACCATATCTATAAAATATGACTTAAGAAGTGCTAAATAAAACAGGAAACAGATACCAATTATACAAAAGAACCCACAACCCTATCCTATATAACCTGGCAATGTGCTTCCTAGAATGGCCAGATTGATTCTCCAGTAGGACATATTAAAAAAAACATTTTAGATGCTGGAAGTCTACGTCACACTTGCATTTCCATTCTCTCCTCCTTGCTTCATTTCATCTTTTATTGAAAACTTTTTTAAAAAAAAAACCAAAACCCTTATAATTACCGGTACTGATCTTTTCTGATCAGACTTTAGACTTATATTCTTATAAGAATAAACACGTTGATTGTTTTAAACCCTTAGGTGCTGGCTACTTTAGCACCTTTTCAGAGCTTAGAACAGTGTTTCTCAACCTTGACAATTTTAAGGCATGTGGACTTCAACTCCCAGAATTCCACAGCCAGCATTGCTGGCTGTGGAATTCTGGGAGTTGAAGTCCACATGCCTTAAAATTGTCAAGGTTGAGAAACACTGGCTTAGAACCATTCAAACTACTTATCTCTTTTACCAAAAAAAACAACAACAGCTGAACAGCTGGTACAGAAATGCTGAACTATTCTTATATTCCGCTTAAGCAGGCCAGTTCCGTAACTCCACCTGGCATCTGCCAATCCTGCCAGAGCTGCCTCGTGTGCGGATGGACATAACCCAGGAAGTTACTGGTTTTTGAAAGCTGCGGGAAAGGGTTAAGGGGGCGCGGCCCTAAGGTGAATGTGGCTTACGTTAAACACTGTTTCTCCCCTATTTTCAGTTGTGGATCCCTCCTGGCCTGGTCAGGCACCGTCATTTCTATTATCCGGACGGAAGCCTGGAGGCCCCTGAGCATGTGCGGAGTGCCTAACCCTAAGATTGGTCTCTACAACCAACCAAAAGGCATCACGTTTCTTACGAAGCATCCTCCCCACTTATCAGGCCAGGTTTGGGGGATCGTCGAATCTGTCCTTCTTATCACACACACACACCCACACCCAAGTTGTGCCCCACCACCCTCCGAGTTGTCATATAAGCTCACCTTCGGGCGGGGGCGGCAGGGGCGGGGGCGGCATCTCCATGGCGGCAAAAGAAAAGGAGGACAGCCACTCGAGAGCGCCTTCGGTCACACTAGGCCCCGCCAGCCGCCGAGCGCTCCTCTATCGTAAAAGGAGCCCCGCTTGCGACATCGCTTCCTCCTTCGCTCGAGGTCGCTCTTGACGGCTTCGTCGCCATGGAGATTCTAACTCCTCCTCCCCCCCCGGCGTCGAGGGCGGAGTAGCCTTTTTTCCTCGTGGATCGGCCCCGCGGCGAACATTGGCGGTCTTGGCCAGCCAATTAGTGGCTTGCGATTGAGCGCGAAGATCGCCGCTTCGTTCATAGAAAGCGGCAGGTAGGACGCCTCGCGCGGGGCGCTGAAGCGAGAGCAGTGTGCATTTTTAACAGGGTGGTCAAATACTGCGACTTTCTTCCGCCCCGTTGTTTTCACGTCCGCCTAGACTCAGTGTTTCTCAACCTTGACAATTTTAAGGCATGTGGACTTCAACTCCCAGAATTCCACAGCCAGCAATGCTGGCTGTGGAATTCTGGGAGTTGAAGTCCACATGCCTTAAAATTGTCAAGGTTGAGAAACACTGGCCTAGAGACGTTGGCGGAAATCCCTTTAGTTAGTGGACATCGCCAAGTAAGTCAGTGTGCTTGGGTATGGTTAGGACAGCGGTTCTCAACCTATGGGTCGCGACCCCATTTGGGGTCGATCGACCATTTCACGGGGGTCGCCAAGCAAGGCTGTCCGCCATTTTTTTTTCCCCTTTTCCGGCGGGTGCCTTACCTCCCTTGAGCTGGGCCAGCTGGTGGTCGGCCTGCTCCGTCTCTGCGGCTTGCCAGCTACGCCTCGGCCGGCGCAGGGGGCGGAACCACGCATGTGCGGCGCTCCCGGGCAGGGAAAGTCCTCGACTTACGACCGGTTGGGTAGTCCTCAACTTACGACCGGTTTAGTCCTCGACCTACGACCGGTTTAGTCCTCGACTTACGACCGGTTTAGTCCCGACTTATGACCGGTTGGGGGTCGCGGCATTAAGGTTGAGAACCACTGGGTTAGGAGGACACTGACTTTTCTAGTCTGCCCTATCTATGTTTCCTGGTAAAAATACATGGGAAAATCCCATTGGAGGAAAATTCCACTTAGCATTACGGTTAGGTCAACATGAACTCTTAGAGCAAAATGGACATCGCCAACAAACTCGGGATGCTTCGGAATGGTTAGGAGGGCACTGACGTTTCTTGGATGTCCTGTTTCCTGGTAAAATACATGGGAAAATCCCATTGGAGGAACATTCCTCTTAGGGTTAGGGTTAGGTCACCATGAACTCGTTATGCAAAATGGACATCGCCAATCAATTCGGAGTGCTTCGGATTGGTTAGGAGGGCACTGACCTTTCTAGGCTGTCCTTTGTATGTTTCCTGGTAAAATACATGGTAAAATCCCATTGGAGGAAAATAACCCAATTACGCTTTGCCATTGGCAAAACCAGGTCTTCAAGGCTCTTGGGAAAGAGTGTCAAAATAGGGGCCAATCTACTCTCCACAGGTATGATATTCCCAAGGGAGGGAAGCACCACGAAGGCACTTATTTTGGGTCCCACCAGATGGACCTTCTTAGGAGAGGGCACCTGCAACATTCCCTGCCTCCCTGCTCTGGTGGGTCCAGTAGAGGTAACCAGGAAAAGAGAATCTTATCTGCACATTGTAAAATTTGGAAACCGCTCGTTTCGCTCAGAGCCAAGAAAACACAGTTAATTTTCTGTCACATTAAAAAGTTACATTTTGGCAATATCTTTGCACCTAAGTGTTTTTTTTAAGTGGAGGTTTGGATTATGGACTGGTGGGATACAATTAGCACTTTGTTATCATGACTGCAGTAACAAGATCAGGAAGAAGTCTCTGTAAGCATCCTTGTTTTTTCTTTCATAATCACCTAGCCAAATGTGCATTCTTGCTCTCAGAAGGACTATTTGTAGATGGAGGCCAACAATGGTCAGGAAAGCTTTCAAGTGGTTTACACAACCAACAGGCCTTGATGGGAAAGCCTGCTGTTGTCACTATTCTTCTATTTAATGTTGTATTAAGTTTGGCTCCCACCCCAGATGACCTCTCCCTCAAAACCAGCGTTGTCCTGCCCTTTCCTACCCTCTGAAGACACAAACACACTGAATAGGACAACTTATTTTTAACAAGAGAACAAAAGATGCCGGTAACTTCAAGTAGCAGGCAAGGGGAATAGCAATAGCACTTAAGAGTTACATACTGCTTCATAACGCTTTAAAGCTCTCTAAGTGGTTTACAGAGTCAGCATGTTGCCCCCAAACAATCTGGGTCCTCATTTTACTGACCTCAGAAGGATGGAAGTCTGAATCAATCTTGAACTGGTCAGAATCGAACTCTTGGCAGAGGGCTGCAATACTGCATTCTAACCATTGTGCCACCATGGAATGACTGATGTACCCAAACTGAAGAATGAATGTGGATTTGCAAAGGGAATATACAGGGGAGAAAAGGTGACTACAGTTAGTCTCCGACTTACAGCAGTTCATTTAATGAAAGTTTGAAGTTACAACGGCACTGAAGTGACTTATGACTGTTTTTCATACTTACAAGTATTGCTGCATCCCTATGACATGATTAAAATTCAGATGCTTGGCAACTGACTCATTTATGATAGTTGCAGCGTCCCAGGATCATGTTATCAACTTTTGTGATCTTCTGACAAGCAAAGTTAATGGAGAAACCAGATTCATTCAACAACCGTGTTACTATCTTAATAACTGCAGGGATTCACTTAACAACTGTGGTATGAAAGGTTATAAATTGGGGCAAAATTCACTTAACTATCTTGCTTAACAACAAAAATGCGGGCTCAATTGTGGTTATAGTTGAGAACTACTTGTATTCAGGTATGGAATAGATACACTATGTTAGGAAATCATGTTAGTTTTTTACAGTGCTAGCAGAACTATTGCTTTACTTCCTTTAAAAGCAAACTATTTTTCCAAGTCTTCATAAAAAGGACTGACTTCTGCCAAAGGAAACAGATCTCAAAATAAGGGCTGTTTTAATAGTGGGGTTCAATGCAGCTTAGAAGGAAGTGGTAAAATCGGTGATAACAAAAGGCAGTGCATTGTACTGATTACGGTGCAGGGAGACTGAATTCACAGCCATAGAAGCTCACTGGGAGTAATTCTGGGCTAGTCACCGTCTGTCAGTCCAACTTAATTCACAGGTTGCTCTTGTGAGAATGAAAATAGAGATTTTCATGTGAACTCTTATGAAGTAGAGAAAAAGCAGGCTAGACACTGAACAAATGTTTATCATTTTTTTATCACAATAATGCATAAACTTGTGGCATATATTAAAATCTGTAATGATAGGAAGATCTGAAGAAGCCAGGCATCGTGGCTTCAGAAAGAATGAAGACCCATGAGTTAAAAGGCAAGTTTAATACAATTCAGGATTTTTAATGATGGGAATTCTGCCTGGCACACATGCCGTGGTACTGGTGGATAGGAGAAAGATGTTGCCTGTAACCTTTAGAAAAAACACTGTTATTTTCAACATAAATCCAATCAAGAAAGTTTCAACTTTGCAGAATTCAGCTTTATTTACATATTCAATATTTAAAAAGCATAATTAAAACACATTTAGTTTTATCCAATTTTTAAATGTGCAGACTAAAAAAATCATGGTTCCTGTACACTACAAATAAAACCTGAAAAAAGTTCACCTTACTTAGGACAGGAGTGACTGCATTTATTTATAATATATACATCCACACCTATCAACTCAATTAAATATTCCTTTTTCAGACATTGTCAATGCCATTTACAGATAATTGAGACTGTCCCTCTGAGAGGCAAGTGACTGACTACACAATCCTAAACATTTATTTGGAAACAGGCAGGTCTATCTTGCCAGTTTGAAAAGAACAGACTTACAAATTATTCAGATTCAAAAGCTGAAGCTGGCTCGGGGGGGTGGGGGGGTTCCATGAGCCCTTTCCCAAGCTGCCCCAATTCATAAATGACTTAACTTTTTGAAAAGGGCACGGGAGGCTTAGAAAAAAAATGTTTTAAGACACAGAAATCAGCAACCAACTTGCCATGCTGCCTAATATACAGTTTGAAAATAACATTTGTGTTCATACAAAGGTTTCAGCAAAGATACTCTAACAAGATATTAAAGGGCATTTCCAGGATGTGTTGACTCTGCTCTAGTTCTTTTGTTTTCTTCATGCTCCTAGTAACTCTTTGCATTACGGTTCTAAAAGTAATTGAAAAGGAAGAGTCTTCAAAAGTTTTAAGGAATTTATCCTTTACTATATTCAAATATTCTTGAACTCTGTAGCATAGCTTTCTCCAATCTGTCTGTTTCATTTCTCATAATTTCTAGTTATCATTGAATTTGGCCATATTGGCTGGGATTGATGTGAAGTAACACCTAACACCAGACTGAGGGAGCCTGGCATATCCTGCACATCGCTACTTTCTAGTATACTTTGGTATTTACAAATCTTGTCAATCCACTTTGACTTCTGCAGGTATCAGAAGCCGTCATCCAAGGCTTTAATTTGGCTATCCAGGGATGTGCATTAAAAAACAAAAAAAGGCGAGGGCATATGTAAATAGCCCTTAGCATGAATTTTCCAAGCACCAAAAATGTCCCTTTTAGTAAGAGACAAGATTTTACTTATTTACAAAAATAAGTTGCTTGTTGAATCTGAGATCTAATCCTTACAACTTTTACAAGCTAGCTCTTTGTTCTAGTTGACTGTTTTGCTTTAGAGAATTAGAGAAATTTTACAACACTCAAAGCCAAGTACACACTAGGATTTCCAATTACATATATACAAGTGCACGTGCACCCCTCCCCGAGCATACATACATACATGCACTGTTATCCTACCAGTCACCTTCTCCCAAGACAAGTATGAGAACAGATGGTACACCTAAAATTAGTATACCAAGCAAGCCCAAAGTAAATGTAATAATCCAAATATTGAATTTCACATATATGTGAAATTCGCTGGAATTTTTTTTTTTTAGAGTCTAATGTATGTGCTCTCATCACATGTAGGGCAAAGTCATGCCTCACACTGCTCTTGGCTCTAATTGGGCTACAACTACTCAAAACTAAAATATTTCATTAGGACTGCACCAGTTACAACCAATACCCTGTTACTAAGACAAGATTCCCAATGTCTCTCACTGCTTCGGAGAAAATAAATCTCTGTCTAACCTGACAGTGTGAAAGGATACAAAGGGACGACATGTGACATGCTATAACTTACTGGCTCTTACTGCTTTATATTGTATTTTGGACATTCCTAGTTCATTCAATCACCTATGTCTCAGCAAGCCTCTTAAAAATCAAAATTATTATCAGCTTTGCATTGTTACACCATCAATGAGACTGGAATGTTTAATCGATACTAGAAAAAGGCAAATAGACTAGACAATTGGCACTTTATGTTCCCAAGTGAACTATTGTAACATAGGAACCTGCTCTTAACTGGTCCTACACTGAATGAGATCTCAAATCTTTATTCTTTTATCGTACATTTATAAAAAAAACCCACAAAGTATACTTTCTCTGGACAAACAGACTTTTGGCATGGAAGCTAGTTCACACATGTAAGAATTACATCCACTTTTAAATTTTGGGATCCTATGTCCTTCTCAAAAATGAAATAGCTATTTTTGTTTTATAAATCTATCTTCCCCCATTTTGACCTGGTTTCCTATTCAAATTGTATAGAAATAATTTTCATTTTGTTTCTATTTAGTGGCCAGGCATGCTCATGTAAGTCCAAGTTTCATTGTTTTGTTCTTCTACAGCACGTATCTTAAAAAAGAGAAAAGTTTGTGCCCACTTTCTTCCGTTTCCCATCTGTTTTCACTGCTTTAGTATTATGAAAAGAGAGGGACCTGGAGAAGGCAGAAGAGATGAAGCCTAAATAGCTTGGAAGGAAAATAGTGCCCTCTTGGTATAATCATTCCAGACCTTGTGAAATCCTTTGGGAACAGATCAAGGGCAGAGTAACTCACCCTTACTAGCCCCTGCAACTCCCCGTATTGCAGCCTTCATGAGGGGTTTTATTACAGGATGCAAATCTTCTTTTCCAATTGCATATAGCATGGGTGGCTTCCTTTCATCCAGAGCTGCATTTTCTTTTCCACATCCAGGTTAGAGAACTTACATCTCTTTAGCTTCCCTTTGCTCAAGGAGAGAGCAGTTTTAAGAAAACCAAATGGACACCCTAAAATGATGTGCATATTTTGCCTTCCTACCATCAGCAGGGTCCAGTCAAATTAAAAAAAAAAAACTGGGCGAGGTATTTGGCTCCTGTCTAAGACTTGCTTTTTTGTATAAACTAAGGGCCTCTGTCTTACCTGGGCAACCCAGAAACATGATTACAAACTCACAAGAGCATAGTGGACATATCACAGACTTTTGCTGAAGATCTCAGCTAATCATAGTGCAAGAGAAAGAGCATGTTGCTCCAATTCTTGAGGCAAAAAGCAAATGTCATCCACAGCAGGAAAGAAAGTATAAAGATTATTACAAAGAGACAACATAAACAATTCAGCACAATATACACAAATTATGCCCAAATCTGACATCAGGATAGACCAATACCCATCGTGGTTTTTTTTTTTAAATGATCCTTGTAAACTAGGAGAGCAGAGCCTTCAGGAAATAATTCCTGAAGCTGCATGATACTACTAAGAAGCTTTGCCCTATGGAGCAAATTGTATGCTATACAGATCTCTTTGCTTCACCTTTTTGTATGAGGGGGAAAAAAAACAAACAAAAAAGGCTTTGAGACCATGATTAAAACAGAAGCGGGAGAGGGAGGATTTCAGATCTATATTTGCTACACAGTGCTAGCAGCAAACTCCTGCTATTACATGATTATTATTTTTTTAGAATAAATTCATTCATTCTTTCTCCAGAGACTGGAAACTGATTCCCCCTTCTTCTTCATTTTTGGCAATCCCCCTCGTAATGCTGCAAACAAAGGCAGCAGATGAGCAGCTAAGCTACTCTCACTACAGAATACAACAAACTTTCTCTTCCACAAAAAAGAGGGACCGAGAAAAAGAGTTGTTTTTGTTACACTTTGAAAATAACTGTAAATTAATGGCAAAGTAAGGCAGAATGCAATTCAAAAAGATGTAAAACCAGGAGTGAAAGGAAAAAACTGGCCACGTTTGTGCTACCATGGACAACCAACCTGTTCAAGGGCATCTGGCGATCACAGAGACTCGGGGTACAGACTGGGGCTTTTGCATGGCCAAATGTTACCTGATGAAACCCACCCCAGTGGTTTCTTCCACTAGCAAGTATTGCTTGGCATGCAGTACCCTCTTCTATAGCATTTATCCCTCCATGGGACATATGCACAGACCCCGGCTATTCCTTGAGACTAAATAGTTCACACAAGTGGAAGGGGAAAACTCCATGTGAACAGTTCACATTGTTTAGCAATGAATAAGCCCTTGCTAAATATCATAGCGACTGGAGCTATACAATGTTGGATAGTTCTGCCGGGAATACTGGAAGTGATCCACGGGGACATTGCCTCTGCTGCTACCATACTGGAAATCTCCCTGATGTGCAAAGGAGGCAAGTCCATTCTGAGACTTTTCCGGGGTACTCCAGCGCCGATCCAGGTTTGTTAGATCTCCAGTCGTGATAGGAAGGAGCTGCTTTTTTGCTTCCTGGTTTGCATCATATTTGGTCTGTAAGAAAATTACACTATCAGCCTCAGAAATCAGCATATCTAATAAAGTACAAACAGCCTAAAGACAAGGCACCCATTAACTATCTTGAGAAATATTAAATGAGAAACTATTAAATTGCTCTTTCCATTTATTAATGAGAAAGCACTAACTGCTCCCATTGTTGATTGATAGGATTAGGAATTCACTTCAGAATGAAGAGGATTGAATAAGGAGTCCATATGGTGGACAATATGGTGGGCTTCCATCTTTGCAAAAGGAAGGAGCTATGTCTGAGGAGCGACATGGAAGTATTGCCTTTGGAGTCTTGGAGCAAACAAGAAGTCCTAACAGGGCAAGACATAAGCTCTAGCCTGATTGGTCAGTTCATTTGACCTGTAGAGTCTCAAATGAAGCCCCTCCCCACTATTACATCATAAACTGATCTCGTCAATATTCCCGTAAGACAGGGGTGTCAAACTGCCGGCCCATGGGCCAGATGCGTCATCCGGAAGCCGCGCCTACCCCATTGCCGGTGATGGCAAAACTGTCCCGATTCATCTCACGACGTCACATGACATTGCGAGTTTGACATGTCTGCTGTAAGAGAATGAGCTAGACTGATTCCACTTTGGCTAGATGGGATCAGAGAAGCAAAGTGGGTGTGACCATATCATATCCAGAGAGAGATAGGATTTTTTTTTCTTTTGTCAATTTTGAGAGGAAAGCAGTTATTTGCATTTTTCTGTGGGTACCGAACTATAACTTCAGTTATATTAACTGAGTTGTTTTAATGTGGTGGACTGCTAAGATTACAGGCCACTAAGGAAGCCCTCAAAGCATATCTAGCTTATACAGTGCCAAAGTTTCTTTGCAATATTTTGAAACAACATATCACCTCCTTCACATTAAATTCAAATACCACCCTTAAATAAGAGGGGAGAACCATTCATTCATGGACTGTTAAAGGCCATTTTTGCTCTCAGGACTGGGGAACTCTGTTTCATTTGATCATTTTATCCTACTCATCTTTTGTAACAATAGCTAGTCTTGTAGTAATTTTTATATTTAAATTGTTAGATATTTATACTGTAGCTTGTGAGGTATCAACCTAACATTTGGTTTGTCTTTAAAACATTTGTCAGAATTAACTTTGTCTTTGTTTTCTTCTTAAAAGTTTAATGCATACACTGTTTAGTTTTCTATCTCAAAACTGTGGAGAACCATCTTGTTGATTTTGCTCCATTGAGATTTGACAATGTTGAGAACCGATAGAAGAGAATATTTGTAGCTCAAGACTGAATTGTGGAGTCTTTGCTGCTCTCTGAGCTTGGTTGTTTTCTTGCAAACATTTCATTACCAAACTAGATAAACATTCTCAGTGATGATGTCACCTAGTTAGGTAATGAAACATCTGCAAGAAAATAACCCAGCTCAGAGAATGCTAAGGACTCCCTATGTTGAGGAGCTACAAAAAACAGAGAACTATGGACCACTTGTGGCTCTGTAGCCTCATACAACCAAAACTTAAACTAGAGCTTCATTCACAGAATACTACTTGAGAAATCAGGAGATAAGAATCCACAGACATATACCCCTTTCTTAAGTCATTAATGCAACTCAAAAGTTAACTAAAACTCATTTTGTTCATTTTGAAGAAACAGAAAATGAATCCTGAGCTAGTCCCACCATTTAAAAAGTTAAATCTCAGGTATGGTTGAATTCCAGCCCGAGTTCCAATCAGAGCTCAGAGAATGCTTCAACTATATTCATTTTTCATTCACTGTTTGGCCTGGGGTCAAAGGCAGATTTTCCACTGGCTACATACCTTGTTGTACAAAAACACTCCCAGGATAGCAGTCATCATGCCCAGAACATTGGTGCTGGTGACAGGGTTGCGAAGCATGATCAGGGAGACACTAATGACCGTGATCCTTTTTGTGGCATTTGCAACAGAATAACTCAGAGGGCTGATAAGGTTCAGGATGCTGAAGGCGATGACATTCTGGGCAAAATTGCAGAAGCCACTGATGGCCAAGAGAAGCATGGTCCATGGCCAATGGGCCATTGAACTCTGTGGGAGAAACAGTGTGTGAGACATCAGCTCACTTAAAAGGAACAGAAGCAGCTACAACACATTGATTGTAATAATTGGTTGAGTGTAACTTAATTTTTCTCTAATTAAGCCCAAGGATTCCTAGCTTTCAATTCCAAACACTGCTTTTAGAAAATCAAGTTTTATAAATTGAAAGTATGTGTGTGTGTGTATATATATATGTATGTATATATATATATATATGTATGTATGTGTGTGTGTGTATATATGTATGTAGGTATGTATATATGTATATGAAACATGCTTCTTATATTCCTTGTTTAAAACAAAATAAAGGTGCAATCTAAATTCAGTAGTTTATGAAGATACTTTTTAAATATTTAATCCTAAATGGCTGTAAGCAATAAAATATTACAAAACTTACAGCATTTAAACAAATATAACATTATTGCATAATTATATCTAAATATTAGGATTCTAGAATTTAATAGCAGCATGGATTGGCTGTGAATTTTATTTTGAAGACTTAAATGTTCCCCCCCCCCAAAAAATTTTTTTTATATTTCTTCCAATATAGTACAGGAGTATGAAATTGAAAGCAGCAAAGAAAATAATTAGAATAACAAACAATGCCATTTTAAAAGCAGTACATATGAGTAATAACAAATCCAAATACTTTCCCCATAAAGCATTTTTTTAAAAAAAATCTGAACTTGAGCAGTAGGAGCTTATATAATGAACATTAAAGCATAATATGCTTTGGTTTCAAGGGCATAAATCTATTTTAGAGTAGGCATTTACATGATGTACCCATCTGCAACTCCTTAAATAAAACATAATTTTTCCCAGTAATCATGTTTTTAAAGCATCTTTTTGCCTCTGAATCCAAGTCACTGTATAGTTCACCAAATGTTGACATAAAACTATTTTTATATACACTATAATTATATACACTATAATTAATTTAATGTCAAATGAAAAAAATCAGTACTAATAATATCCTTAGATATAAACGATTGCTGGAATTGAGTACGTCTAGTTTAACGAAGAGAAGGACGAGGGGGGACATGATAGCAGTGTTCCAATATCTCAGGGGCTGCCACAAAGAAGAGGGAGTTAAGCTATTTTCCAAAGTGCCGGAAGGCAGGACAAGAAGCAACGGATGGAAACTAACCAAAGGGAGAAGCAACCTAGAACTAAGGAGAAACTTCCTGACAGTTAGAGCAATTAACCAGTGGAACAACCTGCCTCCAGAAGCGGTGAATGCTCCAACACTGGAAGTTTTTAAGAGACTGGACAGCCATTTGTCTGAAATGGTATAGGGTTTCCTGCCTGAGCAGGGGGTTGGACTAGATGAGCTCCAAGGTCCCTTCCAACTTCTCCTTCTTATATTATTATTATTATTATTATTATTATTATTATTATTATTATTATTATTATTATTATTATTTCCTTAGATATAAATGTCCTCTATTTTTTAGCATTTTATTCATAAATTATCTCTTAGTAAGAGCATAAATAAAAAAGCCATGACAATTGAGTCATCAGTTTGAAAGTTGGTCTATTAAACTAAAACAGTCTTGTGGGAAAGGTTTGCTTTCATATGATTAGAACAAATTAAATACACCTTTTTCTATAATAGACTGAAATCTTGCTTGGTTACTCTGTTACTTGTTTAATGACCAGTTGTTCAGGGACCAAAGTTATGATGGTGCCGAACAAGTAATAGTTATGAACAGTCTTTATATTTACATCAGCTGCCGCATCCCCAGGGTCACCTGATCACCATTTGCAATCTATTTTCCTGGCTTCCTACCAGGTCAATCAGGAAGCCAGCAAGGGGTCACAAAAGGTGACCATGTGAAGATCTCACTTAATAACCTGTGATGATTCACTTAATGACTGTAACTGGGACTGCCAGAATTTCTGTTACTAAGCAGCAGTCATGTGACATTACACTTTATAGCCATGTTGCTTAGCAACAGAAATTCTGATCCCAATTACTGTCATTAATCAAGGACAGTATTCTCTGCTATTAATATCAGAGAAATAAGGCCAGCCAGCTTTCAAAAAAAGTTGAAAAAAGATATAGTTTTATTATTGAATAACTAGTTCTTTTAGAATTACTTAATCTGTTAGCATACTGCGCATAATTCACCAGATGCAGCTGAAATTCTAAGTGCAAATAAATAAGTAGACTCTAAAGTACTTTAAAGGATGAAATAGTTATCAAGATCTTGCAAGGGTAGCCGGAATTTCTAAACTGGAATAGGAAACATGGCACTATTCTGATACCATAGTCAATAATTCTTTCTAGCTGCATTGGGTACTGTTTATTTACTTATGGCCACCCACCGCTAGGTGACTATACTATCCAACACAGCAGTTATCTTAGTGGGCACCTATTTGCTAAAAAAAGTAGAAATTACTGACAAATTTAAAATAATATAATTTTGGTAAGGAATTACTTAAGATTTAGATCTTTCTTTCCTCGAAGAGTTCACCAGTGCTTCAATTTCAGCAATCCATTTGAGACAGGCTAGCCTGTCATTTGACCAAAGTTAAATACATTGATAAAATCCGTAAAAGGTGAAAACTCAAAAAGCATGAACAAAAAATACATTTTGAGCTCCCTGGTAAAACACAATAATAAGACACCTCCCTCAACTCCAGCAACAATTGCCACAAAAAAGATTTAATTATTTGTGTTATACTGTCCATGCCTTTGGCAGGGTCTGCAAAAGTGCCTAGTTAATTACCCAAGCTATTATGAAAAAAAAATCTATTTTTGCAGTCGCTTAAAAATCAACAACGACTTCATGGCACATAATCAATCAAAAGCTGCATAAAGCTATAATACGGTGAGTGCCTATAACTGATTTAGAAAGCGATTGGGAATCAGTGCAAATGTTTCAGCACAGTGTTGATATGGCAACACCTTCGTAGCCACATTTTGAGCAGTTGCAATTTCCATACTCTCCAAGGGCTTCCCTTAGTACATAAACTGCAATAGCCTTTGCGGTTACCAGCATCTGGATCACCAATACCAGGTCTCCATTTCCAGAAAGAGGCCCAATTTGTTGTTCAAATAAGCTGATAAAAGGCCCCATTGCCATTGATGTCCTGTCCATGCCAGATTCAGGAAGGACCCCCAGACTGTGAACCTGGACCTTCAGGGAGAATACAACCCCATCCAACATAGGCTCATCTCCTGAATCTTGAAGTTCAGCCCCTGGATCAGCAACAACTCCATCTTGATTGGTTTCAGCTTCACCTTGTTCTCCCACATTCAGTCCTTTACATCCTGGAGACTTGCAGAAGCTCGTGAGACATCCAACCCTGAGCTCGCAGGAAAGGAGAAGTATAGCTGAGTATCATCAGCATACCGACAGTGACTAGCTCCACCCCGCACATGATCCTTCCCAGCAGCCTCACACAAATATTAAATATTATCAAACTTTGCATGATCTGCAGGAGAATCCCACGGGTTGAGCAACAGTCTCTCATAAAACTATCTTGAAGTGAATGGAGCAGAATTACTGAAAACAGGGCCTCTAATTTTCAGCTTTTTCAATAGTTCTAACAGATTGGCATGACCAATAGGGTCAAAAGCCACCAAAAAGGAAGCTACAGGAGCATCAATAGGACTGCACTTTCCTTCTCTCTTTCCCCCAGCAATGGCTTATTTTTAACTGCAGATTTCCCTGTTTATTTTTAGATTGTTTAAGAACATAGCAACTAAGGTACAACACATGTATAAATTTCAATAACTGAAGAAGTTATCTAGGTAAAAACAAACATTATTATCCCGAATCTTTCCATCTCTACACTATTCATTTTCTACGATTGGCTGAGCTCTTCTAAGTACCCTTCTTCTCTTCTACCAGAAGACTACAAACTCTACTGAAGAACAAAAGCTCAAAAAATGTCTACAAATTTCAATAATTCCATCAACCCGTCAGTCAGTTCAGTTTTAGAGCTCTCTTGGTTTTATTGCTAATATGCTCAAAGTCCTTCACAATGATCAAAATTTGGGTTCAACAACGGTTCTAAACAGCTAAGACAAAAATATGGGAGGGCTGCAATGGGAAACATGATAGAAACACCAGCAATAGGAACCTCTTGACTCCAGGGGCATACTTCAAGCCAAAGGCTTTTTTCTACAGACTTAGTTAACGCTTACCATGTCATTTTCTACCAGGAATGAGGATAGATCAACCAGCACCCATGTTGGGATCATGAAAAACACAGCATGGCACCCAAGGATGTTCAACAGACGGAGATGGTGTATTCGTGAATCTCTTAAAACCTGTAAGAACGAAGAATTCAGAAAGAGCTCCTTCTTCAAGAATCATTTCTTTTAGTTGCTTTTCTTCCTGTAAATCGAAATGTAGTTGCTGTATCTCAAACACACAATTTCTTTACCTGTGTGCAACTGAACACAATGGCAGTGATTAAGTCAATTTTTCTAATTTGATGGATCTACAGATAAATTGCATCTCAGCTTTCAGAATTCCCAGCCTTCATAGCTGTTGGGCAATGCTGAGACTGTAGAAAGAGTGCAGAGAAGAGCAACAAAGATGATAAAGGGACTGGAGGCTAAAGTATATGATGAATGGTTGTGGGAACTGGGATGTCTAGTCTAACAAGGAGAAGGACGAGGGATGACATGATAGCAGTTTTCCAATATTTGAGGGGTTGCAACAGGTCGACCTATCTTCAAAACAGCCGAGGATAGGACAAACAGTAATGGATGCAAACTAATCAAGGAGAGACCCAGCCTAGAGCGAAGGAGAAATTTCCTGACAGTGAGAGCAATTAATCAGTGGAACACCTTTCCTCCAGAAGTTGTGGGTGCTCTAGTACTGGAGGTTTTTAAGAAGACATTGGACAGACATTTTTCCGGAATGGTATAGGACAGGGGTAGGCAACCTTGGCTCTTTTATGACTCGTGGACTTCAACTCCCAGAATTCCTGAGCCAGCATGCTGGCTCAGGAATCCTGGGAGGTGAAGTCCACGAGTCATAAAAGAGCCAAGGTTGCCTACCACTGGTATAGGATCTCCTGCTTGAGCAGGGGGTTGGACTAAAAGACACCTTCCAACTGTTTTTCTATATTCTGTATAAATGAAATCTTATTTGAGTCAGTTCAAATAATAAAATAATAAATTTGAACAATCTAGATAATACTAGCATCTAACTACAAACTAATTGGGTGATTTGTGTGGGTGATTTCTTACAGAGAGAAGCAAAGGCAAGGAAAACTGAGGGTTGTTGTGCTGATTAATAATGAAATCCAGTGAACCATCTTCATTTGAAGACCTTTTGTCAGTATAAATAATGTGTGGGAGGAGTGAGGGGTATACAGGTAGTCCTTGACTTACAACCACAATTGAACCCCAAAATTTTGTTGCTAAGTGAAACATTTGTTAAGTGAATTTTGCTCCATTTCAGTTTTCCATATATAAATTGGTTAACAATAGCAGCTTAGACTTTGTGTACCTCAAAGAAGTTACTGAGTTTCTACGCCATTATCATCATTTAGACAGCATTAGAGAATATGAATTTGAAATGCGAATATATCGCAGGTTTGTTACAAAGATCATTAGTGCAGAAATATTGAGTGTATTTGCAAATGTGTATCAATGTGCAAAAATATACATTAAAACAAATAAACACAGGGTACCTTCTTAGAGAAAATATTCTGAAGTGAGAAGCAGAGAGTTGCAGCCAGGGCACTGATAAGTCCCCAAGTATCAAATGAGAGTTCTGTAATTGTAGCCAGCAGGACTCCACCAATAATAGGGATGAGGGATAAATATACCTGACAGGAAAAAAAAAAATCTACTTATTATTTATTTATTAAATTCGTTTGCACCCATCTCACTTCAAGACAACTCTGGGCAGCTTACTTATTTGGGACAGCTTACATGTTTCCCAAGTTCAGGTGGTGCAGAAAGTTTATGCAAGTCTCACAAAACTTTCTTTCCAAATGTTTTCTTTTTCCAAATAAACATTTCAATGGAACAATTGCAGAGAAGCATCAAATACTTCACCCCTCTGACTACTCTTATTTGTCTTACCTTGGTCGTCTGCTTTTCCTTCATGATGATTCTTGAGAGGAGAACAACCCAAATAGGCATTGTTGCTTTAACTGGAAAGAGGAGGAAGGGCACAGAATTAAAGTGAGAACAGAGACCAGCAACAAGACCTGTGAAATAAAAGCTACTTAGAAACTGATATATTGCATGCAGATATTACTCAACACAGTATAATGCAGTATAAATAACTGCTCAACTGTCACTCACATATGCAAAAGCTTCCATGGTGAAGCTGTGGCACTACTCCCTGATACTTTCTCCCATACTACTTCCTTTACAGCTAAACTTCGTACTAACTAAGCTTCCTGCTATTTTGAAAAAAATAAGGACTGCTGTTCTAAATAAAATAAAAGATACAAAAATCTTGCATGAACACAGCAATTTTTAATATGCAATTAAACAAGAATTAAATAACAACTACAAGAAGCTTACAGTGTGAATTACAGGTAGTCCTCGACTTACAACAGTTCATTTAGTGACCATTCAAAGTTACAACGGCACCAGAAAAAGTGACTTATGAGTGTTTTTCACACTTATAATCATTGCAATGTCCCCATAGTCATGTGACCAAAATTCAGATGCTTGGCAATTGACTCATATTCATGATGGTTGCAGTGTCCCAGGATCATGTGATCCCCTTTTGAAACTTCTGACAAGCAAAGTCAGTGGGGGAGTTGTTAGTAACACGGTTAAGTGAGTCTTAAGTGAGTCACTTAAGAAATGTTTCACTTAGCAACAAAATTTTGGGGTTCAATTGTTGTTGTAGGTCAAGGACTACCTGTATACCCCTCACTCCTCCCACACATTATTTATACTGCAAAAGGTCTTCAAATGAAGATGGTTCACTGGATTTCATTATTAATCAGCACACCAACCCTCAGTTTTCCTTGCCTTTGCTTCTCTCTGTAAGAACTATCAGGCATTCTGGTTGAACCAGATTATTGGCAGTAAAAGCTCTTTTTAAAAAAAAAACAATACCATACCCTCCAGGCTTGTTTTTTCTTCCTCAATATAAATAAGGAAATTCTCTTGAAGTTCTGCCAACATTCTACACATAGATGGAGACACCCTAGCAATCTAATGAACACTGATACCTCTGAGAAGCCCTCCTTCCACTCTTTGCAAATCCACTTGTGAACCAAAGTAGTTTAGCACTGAATTACAAGAGAGAAATACAAGTAGTCTTTGACTTACAACAGTTTAATGACCTTTCAAAGTTACAAAGGTGCTGAAAAAAGGGACTTATGACCATTTTTCACACTTACGATTGCCGTGGTCGTGTGGGCAAAATTCAGACGCTTGCAACTGGTTCATATTTATAACGGTTGCAGTGTCATGGTTGCAGTGTACAGTTGTAACTTTTTGCGACCTTCTGGCAAGCAAAGTCAATAGGGAAGTTAGATTCGCTTAACAATTGTGTTACCAATTTAACAATTGCAATGATTCATTTAACAACTGTGGCAAGAAAGGTCATAAAATGGGGCAAAATTCACTTAGCTGTCTCGCTAAGCAGCAAAAAAATTGAGCTTAATTTGTGTTGTAAGTCGAGGATTACCTGTATCAAGATTGCAACTCATCCTTGGTCACAAATGTTCACTGGATAATATTGGGGTGTTTTTAGAACAGGCCTGTTATTTAATTTGATTTTAGAACAGAAACTTATGTATATTTATCGTGGTTTTTAGTATCGCCTGTTCACCGCCCTGAGTCCCGTAAGGGAGATAGGGCGGTATATAAATTTAATAAATAAATAAAAAATAAATTGGGCCAATCATTACCTCTTAACCCACCTTACCTCACAAGGCAGTTGTGGGGATAAGAGGAGACAGCATAATGCACTGCTACACCTTGTGATTACTGTGGTAGTCAAGAGTGTGGACTGGCACCAAAGACACCCAGCTTCTAGTAGTAACCCTTAGCCGTAGAAGCTTACTGGTTTACTTTGGGGCCAGTCTTTCTCTCAGTTCAACATGCCCCACAAGATTATTACTGTGGAGAAAATAAGAGGAAATCCTACATATGTTATCTTAAGTTGAACAATGTGCAAAGTATAAATAAATGGGAGAAGTGCTTCCTTCTTTCTCAGCACCAGGCCCAGAAAAAAAAAACGTTATTTCCATAAAAGCATATCCCCGGGCAAAAGTTTCACCATCCCTCATATCTAAAACATGGAAGGAAAAAAAAAAGTAAAGTGCATCTCCCTCTCCCAACACTTTTTTTTTTTTTTTTGGAAATCTGAAAGCACTCCGCATACGGACTAGTCCAGGGGTAGGCAACCTTGGCTCTTTTATGACTCATGGACTTCAACTCCCAGAATTCCCGAGCCAGCTATGCTGGCTCAGGAATTCTGGGAGTTGAAGTCCATGAGTCATAAAAGAGCCAAGGTTGCCTACCCCTGGACTAGAGCCTCCCTCCCTTCCCCTCGCGCCCCATCATACCGGTGTGAGCGTAGGAAACCGGGACGCGCCAAAGGGAGACGTGGGCCGAGACGGAGGCCAAGTACTTGCCAAAAGCGAGCGGAAGGATGAGGCGCGGGTACGCGCGAGGCGGCAGCTGGGCAGGGCTGGCGGCGGGCACGCGCCAGGCCCGCAACAAAGGGGGCAGGAGCGCCACCAGGCCCAGCACGTGGCAGAGCGAGACCGTCACGGGCCGCGGGAAGGTGCCCAGCAGCACCTTATTCACCACGTTCCCGCCAGCGCTCAGCGCGTACCACGCCAGGCAGAGCGCAGGCACCCGAAACAGCCCCGTGGATCCGCGGGGGGGCGTGCCGGAGGGGCTGCCGGGCGAGGGGGGGACGGGAGGGGGAAGGAGGCCGGGAGGCGGCGGCGGCGGCGGCGGCGACACCATCCTCGGGCTGGGGAGAAGAGCTGCGCCGGTGCCTCCGCAGCCGGGCCGGAGCCGCTTTGCCTTTTTTTTTTTTTTCCCTCGGACGCGTCACTTCCGTACAGCCGGCGGAAGCGGAGTGCCATAGCGACGGAAGCCGGGGAGACGGCTAGGTTCAACTTCAGAAAAAGCGAAGTCCTTAGCGGGTGGTCCTGGCAACAGGGAAAGCGCGGGATCGTTTGGCTTTCTTTGCGGTGAGCGGGAAAGCTCGCGCACTTGGGGGGCGGGTGGGGGGCGGAGCGAGAAATGACTACGCTGCTGTAGCGCCCAACGTTTTTTAGGGATTTTATCACCGATAAAATTAGGCTCTCGGTTTTTCCCCAGCCCAGGGGTAGGCAACCTTGGCTCTTTTATGACTCGTGGACTTCAACTCCCAGAATTCCTGAGCCAGCCATGCTGAGGGGAAAGAGAGGTTTTCCAAGCTGAGCCATGCTGGCTCAGGAATTCTGGGAATTGAAGTCCACGAGTCATAAAAGAGCCACGGTTGCCTACCCCTGCCCTAGCATAACGTACGGAGAGGGCAGAAGTTCGATCTCTTCTAAGTCCGGATCCCCACAGTGCCCATTTTTCATTTGCACTTGCGTACCGGTAGTCCTCGACCTACAACAGTTCACTCAAGTGACCGTTCGAAGTTAAAAAGACACTGAAAAAAGTGACTTATGGCCATTTTTTATACTTATGACCATTGCAGCATCTCCATGATCACGTGATTTACATTCGGATGCTGGACAACTGACTCACATTTATGACAGCTGGAGTATGTGATCCCGCTGCAGCCTTCTGACAAGCCAACTCAATGGGGAGACCAGATTCCCTTAACATGTTACTAATTTATCAACTGCACTGATTCACTTAACAAATGTGGCAAGAAAAGTCATAAAATGGGGCAAAACTCACTTAACAAATTTCTCACTTAGCAACATAAATTTTGTGTCCATTTGTGGTTGTAAGTTGAGGACTATATTTCTACATACCATCAGGCGCTGCACAGATGCAATCACAAAGCGTCGGTCTCAGTGCTGCTGCCAGGGGTCGTTCTGGGAACTAAAGTACAGTATTTCTAAAACGAAAAGGTAACGGGCTGACAGTGCTCACCTCTGCATCATTTCTAATTAGGCTGGGTGCGTATGTAGCTGCCGGTGGTTACTCTTGTACAGCCAACAAAGCATCGCTTATCCTCGAGTAATGTACACAACAATCATTGAAGCAGATCTCAGAAAATAAAAGTCCCAAACATGAAATTACAGACATCTGGTATCAAGGATTCCACTAGAATTTGCACAAAGCAAAAAAAGTGATTCTGTTTTTAAACTCAGGATAAAACGGCCTCACAAGGAATATTCCAAGTTTGCTGGATTCTGCAGAATAAAATTCAGAATTTCTTTAGTGTCTTGTTCCATTCTCAAACCAAATTCTTCGTATCAAAATCAGAATACTCACATTGGCAATTTAGATGTCAAAATATTTTCAAGTGTTTTGCACACCAATATTTCACGTTTCTGTCAAAGTAGACTGGGCCTGAGAAAAGCATTTGCCATACCAATACAATTCAAAATATTATTTCAATTACACTTTTAAGTGTTTGACAGTGTTCTCAAACCTAAAAGCATAATTACAATAAGCCTATAACTCATGCTTGCCCCTCCTTTTCTATATTGTCTGGAGTAGAGTGGGGAGTGGGATAAAGTCCTGCAAACGATACCTTGGTGAAGATTCTTAAGTCCCTAAGATGTCCTGAAAGTCTCTCTTTGCATGCTAACCCCCTTCCTCTGAATCTTAATTTTACTTTGCTAAATTGCCCATTTTTCTCTTGCTGCAGTGAATTGGGTATAGCTATTGGAGAAACATCCTATTTTTTTTTAAAGTTTAAATGATGCAGATGCTATCCTTGGGACTTCAGGTCAGTTCTTTTTTAGCATACTGTACACATTTCTATTTTTTATTTAAATTTCTTTTGCCTTGTTTTCCCATTGTTTTATTGTTTTATTTATTTTTGCATATATATATATAAACCTTGACAAAATAGCAATGGCCCAGTATAAAACAATGTATACAACCTTCATTCCTTCTATCCCATGTCTCCCAGTGAATTAGAACCTAATTTTTCCAAACATAATCCAACACCAGCAGCACTTGCCACACTGGCTTACTAAAAAATTGAATCAGCCTATGTACAAAAGCTAAGCATGAATGTAAAGAAAATAAATTTAAAATTAGCTAACGGCAAACTGAGAAATCATAGACCAAGAGAAGTAGAATATTCTGATGATACCTCCATGCAAGGGTTGTGAGTTGGAAATACCACATCAGAACTATCCAAAGAACAGATTCACATTACTTAGGAAACCACATCAGTGGGCCTCAATGTGATGACCAAACCTAGAAACTAAATCGTTTTAAGAAAAAAGCCTTAATATCCATTCCATATTCAACATTAGTCACTGGGTGAGGCTCTATCTATTCATGATTCACAGTTATCATTCAAACTTTGAAGTTAGGGTTAACAAGGTTATTTCTTCTGGCGTCTGAAACGAAAATGAGAACATCCACAAAAGAGTCTCCCCCAGCACTCTTGTCTTCTCCTTTCTCTCCCATGCATATGGGAGAGGGTCAAATAGGAAACAGAAGAGGTTACAGGGAGAGGGCACCGGAAGTAGTTTTCTCTCACACCACCTGTTAACTCTGATTCTGATCAGGCCACTGTGGAATTTTTACAACAACATTTTTAAAAAACCAGGCATTGACAGCCACAAAAATAGCTGAGATACCAGCTCAGGTCATTGCTCCCAGGATAATTATACCAGCCTTCTTTGTTTGATCATCTGGAAATCAGATTACCGGGTGAGTTACTAACCCACAGGTAGTGCTAGACTGTTAGGCATCTTGTGCAAACACACCCAATTATGATGGAGCTACTGGTAGCAGGAATATTGCACACTGTATGCCGAGGAAAGGTTGTGCTAGTCAGCAAAGGTTAAAAGGTCTTATCTGGTCCCATGGTCATATATTTGTTTTTCTGTTCCTACTCTAGTAGCTTTAATTAGATGACCTTAATTTTTGGGGAAAAATATCAAAAAATGACAGGAAAACTTCATTCATTGGATTGTTGCATAGAAACTGATGCAGAAACTAAGGGGAAGAAATAAGAAAGCAGTGTTTTGACAGAGATCTAGAGCTTTCTTTTCCATGGCTATAACTGCTTGCAAAAACCTCAGTCTCTTCACAGGTGAAATTGGCTAGAATAAGTCAGACTGGATTTCTGGCTGTTCTATTCCAGCTTTGAAGGCACAGAGGATAGTAGTAAAAATCTGCCTGAGGAAAAGGGAGGCAGTGACTCTCTAGATTACTCTCAGCAGCCACAGTCAACTGTCAATGCTGCAGAATACTGAGAATTGTACCTGAATGTCACAAATTCCCCTCCCTAGCAAAAGATAAAATACATCTCACTGTATGAACTAGAACTATATACACCCCACTGAAATATGTCTGTTTAGGGAAACACTTGCTGCTTTATTTATAGACTGCATATTTATTGTCTAGAACTTGGTACAGCATGAAAAGTTTAAAAAATTAATATTGTATATGCTTCCGACCTACCCAAATAAAACTATCCATTGAGAAAGCAAAGTCCAACTAATCCAAAAACAGATCAACACATCCCCTTCCAGGTGCATTGAACTGCAACTCCCACAAACCCTGTCATCAATCATGCTAACCTAAGACCAAGAAGAGTTACACAGAATGCAACCCCAGGCACAGATTTCAGCCTTCTGAGAGCCTTCAATTTATGGATGGATATTTTTTTTAAAAAATCTCTTGGGCTGAAGTTCAACATTTGCTTGATCACATTTTACTAGCTAGCCAAAGGCTGAATATATAAATTGCCCTTTTTCTCCTGACAAAATGTCAAAGATTTTGCAACAATAATACACATCATGATTGTCATCGAATTAAAGAAGTTATGTGATTAAATACTCAAGAATAGTTTAAATCTAAAGACACACTTTGCTTTGACATTGCAGTGGAAAAGCTGTGCCTCTCAAGCTATTACTGGACTAAAACTTTCTCTGCCACAATTTCTAGTAATTGGTGATGAGAACACAATAGAGTGAAGATCTAAAATATAGATGATATTAAATAAATTATATAGCACTTTTTATAGACAATTGCAAAATGCTTTGCAAATTAAAATACAGGTAATCTTTTACTTGTAAGTATAATTGGCCTTAGAACATCCACTAAGCAACGCAATTGAATCGTGTCCAATTTTACAACTTTTAGCATGGTTGTTAAATGAATCACTGTGGTCATTAAGCCAATCCAGCTTCTTCCATTGTCTGTTGGAAGGTTGCAAATGGTGATCATGTGACCTTGGACACAAGTCCTTGCACTTAGGGTCATTTCAGTGTCCCCGTGGTCATGTGACCAAAATCCAGGCACTTCCTCAAGTATTTAAAGTTGCTGAAATGTCTGGATTTTGGTCACATGACTATGGGACACTGCAATGGCCGTAAGTGCATGGACTGGTCATAAGGCATTTTTTAAAATCACTGTCATAACTATGAACTATTATTAAGCGAATGTTGCAAGTCAAGAACCACCTGTATAAAACAAGTCGTTATCTTCATTTTTCCTGGATATTGCAAGTGGGATATTGCTAAGCATGGTGAGGTCCATGCAGCTGAGGTCCTTCTGGAGACAATAACCAAATTGGGAATTTGACTGGAATGTTAGAATCATGCTCAAAAAACATGCAGGACCAGGACGAAGACTAAATTTGATTTAATTTAAAGGTACACTTAATTAAATATGAATTAATTAAATGCAATTAATATCACACCCCATATATTTAATAACTCTTCTCCCACTGACACAATTTAGCAGTTCTTTTGAAGAGAGTTCTGGGAGCTGCAGCCAAGGCAGGAGTGGGAGGAGAGGATATACAGGACCCCATGGCCTCAGGT